AGACTCACCAGCACCTGAGGGCGCGGATGCACTAGCACCTAGAGCAGCAGCCTCACCAGTACCTAGAGCAGCAGTACCAATGCCCGGGTCGGGCGGAAAACACCGGTAACAGTCACCCTCATCACTAATAGTCACAGCATACATGGCAGCAAGGATAGCATCAAAGTCAAGATCAAAGATAGCTACGCCTGCCCTAGACAGCTCTCCCCAGCGGGGGATCTCACTAGCCTACGGGAACTGCTGACGCCAAGCGTTCGTCAGGCGGCCAAAGCAGCGCTGGGTGGGGTGAGCACCCCCACACTGCTCACCCGTGCGGTCGCCAGAGCGGAGGACGTAGGTGCACGGGCCAAAACCCCCACCACGCTGACGCTGCGTGTACCACTCACGGAGCTGCTGAGGAGGGGGGATGTCCCGAGAACGCTGCTGCTGCTGCTGCTGGCGCTGACCACTCCCGGAGCCGCTCCGCTAAGAAGTACCACCTCGACCAGCTCCACCTCCTCCACCACCGCCGCCTCCACCTCCGCCGCCACCGCCGCCTCCGCTCCCACCGCTACCGCCACCGCCTCCTCCGCCTCCGCCGCTGCCACCGCCACCTCCACCCCCGCCACCACTCCCACCGCCACCCCCACTCCCTCCGCCGCCTCCACCGCCACCTCCACCACCCCCGCTAGCTCCACCCGCGCCCTTGCCCCCCTTGCCCTTGCCAGAGCGGCGTCTCCCGCTAGGGGCAGACGCCGCACCGACCGACTCAAGACCAAGTAGGTCGGCCACAGCAGCAGAGGCAACAGAGGGCAACAGGGGTAAAGGGGAACACCCCTCAAAGATGGGGGTGCGAGGGTCACCACGAGAGGCTCCTACAGCAACTATACTCTTCTCCGCTGCTAGGAGGGCCTTCTCTAGGAGGTCAACAGTGAGAGTGGTTGGACAGACTGAGAGAAAGTGGTCCCTGACTACGCGAAGGGAGTCAGGGAGGCGGGTGACTATGTAATAGAGAGTGATGTACATGGGGGGGGGGGGGGGGGTTCTTGGCGCAGAACTCAGCAGGAAGCGCGGCGCGGTAGCGAGTGTCACTAGTGCAGAGGTGCGTAATGAGGTCAGCTATTGTGGGAAATGCAGCAAGGTCAGGGAAGAGGTACGGTAGCATGAGGCGGCTCAGTGCAGCAGTGGCAGGTGAAGAGTAGCGCGCAACTACAGCGTCGTACAAGGTCTAAGCACTCTTGTACTGACTAAAGTGCGCGCGCTCAGTGGTAGGCAGGTGGCGACGCACAGCAAGACGTGCAGCAGCATCGCGGGTGGCCCACTGAGAGCGAACAGTGGGGTCAGCATCAGCAGCAGGGGCAGGAGAGGCGCCAGAGGTGAGGTCAAAGAGAGAAAGACCGTCCGCCCTATCGCACTGTAAGAACAGCTGCAGGTCGTCGACCCAGACCTCAAAGTCAATGGCTCGACCCTCAGCGTCAAAAGCGAGGACACTAGGGGTAGCCATGACGACGGTAGACTAGAAGTGCAAGCAGTAGGGGAAGGGCACGCAGTGACAGAGAGGCTGTGCTCACCGGACAGGGCGGCTGCTGGGCGGCTCAGCGGCTCGGCTGCGGGGCGGCTCGGCTGCGGGGCGGCTCGGCTGCTGGGCGGCTCGGCTGCACGGCGGCTCGGTTGGTGGGCGGCCAGGCGGCTCGGCGGCAGGGCGGCTCGGCTCCTCTTGTACAGGGCGGCGCGGTGGTCTGCGGCTCGGGCGCGTTGCTGCAGGAGGGGAGAGCGGCGGGGCTGCAGCAGACGGGCGGCGGGACCCGTTGACGTAGGGCGGCGGGGCCGGTGAAGTAGGGCGGCGGGGCCCTTGAAGTAGGGCGGCGGGGCCCTTGAAGTAGGGCGGCGGGGCCGCAGGTGTAGGGCGGTGGGGCCGCAGCAGACGGGCGGCGGGGCCGCAGACGTAGGGCGGCGGGGCCGCTGAAGTAGGGCGGCGGGGCTCGTTGAAGTAGGGCGGCGGGGCCGCGAAGTGGGGCGGCGGGGCCGCGAAGTGGGGCGGTGGGGCCGCAGCAGATGGGCGGCGGGGCCGCTGAAGAAGGGCGGCGGGGCCGCAGCAGATGGGCGGCGGGGCCGCTGAAGAAGGGCGGCGGGGCCACGAAGTGGGGCGGCGGGGCCGCAGCAGACGGACGGCGGGGCCGCTGAAGCAGGGTGGCGGGGCCGCGAAGTGGGGCTGCGGGGCCGCGAAGTGGGGCGGCGGGGCCGCTGAACAGGGCGGCGGGGCCGCGACGTAGAGCGGCAGGGCCGTGAAGTAGGGCGGCGGGGCCGCAGGAGTAGGGCGGCGAGGCCGTAGTTAGGGCGGCAGGGTCGCGACGTAGGGCGGCGGGGCCGCGAATGCGGGTGGCGGGGCCACGCTAGTAGGTGGCGGGGCCGCACGAACGGGAGACGGGGCCGCTAGGGCATAGGGGCCGCTAGGGCGGCTCGACGAGGTGAGAGCGCGACTCGGGCGGAGCGCGCTTCGGGCAGGAAAAAAAAATTCGAAATTTGGTGGGCCCTAGGCACAGTTCCCACAGGGGAACCTGCTCGATACCATGAGAAAATGAGAACGAGAATGAATGAACTATGAAACAGTTGGGTACAAGTACTAACCCTAATTGGGTTGTACCCCATATGGGCTACCCCACTATAGCGTACACAAAAGCATAAGCTATAATGTTCTGACAGGGCGGCGGGGCCGCTGAGTAGGGCGGCGGGGCCGCTGAGGAGAAGGGCGGCAGGGCCGCTGAGTAGGGCGGCGGGGCCGCTGAGCAGGGCGGCGGGGCCGCTGAGGAGAAGGGCGGCGGGGCCGCTGAGTAGGGGCGGGGCCGCAGCGACGGGCGGCGAGGCCGCGGAGACAGGCGGCGGGGCCGCGATGCAGGGCGACGGGGCCGCTGTGACGGGCGGCGGGGCCGCACTAAAGGGCGGCGGGGCCGAAACGAAGGGCGGCGGGGCCGCTAGGGGAAGGGGCCGCTAAGGCGTGGGGGGCCGCTAGGGCGGCTCGGCGAGGTGAGAGCCCGGAGCGCGACTCGGGCGGAGCGCGCTTCGGGCAGGAGAGAGAAAAAAAAAAATGAAACTCGATGTGGTGGGCCCTAGGCACAGTTCCCAAGGGGGAACCTGCTCGATACCATGAGGAAAGTAGAACGAGAATGGATTGACTAAGGAATGGAGTGATACAAATATGCAACCCTAGAAATGTGTACCTCATATAGACTACCCCACTGTAGCCTACACAATATTATAATTTGACACTTTGTCTTACTTTCCAGGCAGTCGAGCTTAATATGAGAAGTAGACTGATATTGCTTATGACTTACAGTATAGGATACATAATGTCTTGGTGATTTATGTTTCTATTTCATCTGCGGTTAATATGCTTTGTCAGTTGGCTTCGTGCGTGCGTGTATGTGTGAATGTGTATGATCATGTGTATGTGTTGTGTTGTGTGTGTATGCGTTTTCATTCATGTTTCCACTGCATTAACAACACATGTCTGTGGGTTTTAAAAATTGGGATCAAACTATCATTTCCGAGAAGGTTCTTTGCGCACTCAGTGAGTGTGTCCATTCGAGCTGGATTTGATAGAATTGACCCGTTTTTTATATCGCACAAATTGTGTTGTTTCATGTAACAGTTGGATGATTAAGAAATTATGCTATTGAGCTCCCCCCCATGCTAGGCAGGGGATGCGGTAGCATAGGGTCTGCGTCAATTTACTGTTACGCATTTCCATCATGCTATGCATTTATTTCATTACCGGTAATATATGCATTATACTTATGCATTTGCATTACTTCATCTACGCATAACATCATCAGACATATGCATCACAGAATAAACAGTTACGTGTTCACAGTACATCATTTTGGCAACTCATGAAATATAGGTTCAGTCAAAGTAAACTAGGAAATGAGAAGGAATGTGGTTCAGCACGTGGTAAATTGACGCGGCAAATACATAGCAGTCAGTCACTTAGCTAGTACCGTTCACTATATTTTTTCCATCCTCTATTTTTTTAAGTATAGAGGATTGAAAAAAAAAATGTACATAACGATTGTAATAGGTTGCTTCGCAACCCAAAAAAACATGCACAAGATGCCACGGAGCACGCTACATATAAAATCAGCAGCTATAAGACTTTGTTATGAGAGCAGCAGCTCCTATATATGGGTATGACGGTAGTGTGATTCTAGTTCACACGTAACAATCACCTAGAGCACTTCGTTTCGCAGATTAATTTCGCAACTGCTGCACCAATCTCGCGAACCCCGAATTACCTCGCTCCCATTCTCAACCCACGCTCCTTATCCCCAGATTCCCTGCCTTTTTATCTAATGAATGCTGATTTTGCGCACAACGCAATCGGTCGAGTCCCCATTCGCATTTTATCCATCTGGTCAGCCATGGCTGCGCACGTTTCAACCATGCATTTTGACTCTTCTCGACTATCAGGCCGCAATTTTCTTTCAGGCAAGGCTTCCACTACTCACCACTGCACAGCCCTCTCACACGCGCGCATATCCACGAGCGCCCTACCGTCATCCACGCCACTCGGCGCTTCTCGATCTCAATCCGTATCACTCCAAGCCGTCGCGCAACGGTCGTGCGAGCCGCGAAGACTCGCTTCCGCGCGGCTCGTCGCGCGGGCGGATGCTTCCTCAACCGACTCAGCGCGCGCCACCCCCGGCGATGCCGCCGCCGCAGACGCCGCTCAACCGTCAGATCGGCGGCGGGCGCGGCTGGCGGTGTTCGTGTCGGGCGGCGGTTCGAACTTCAAAGCGATCCACGCGGCGTGCGCTGACGGACGCGTGATCGGCGACGTGGTGGTGGTCGTTAGCGATAAACCAGGTCAGCACATAACGCGTATGGTTAGCCTCGATGGGAGTTTATACAGGAAACTTTTCGGTTCCCCAAGTGCTGGTGGAACAGCACGCGATGTGACTTTATACCTGCTTGACCTTACCTTATCAACCATGCTGATTGCGTTGACTGCCTGACTCCGCTCGATGTGCTCTCTCCCTCCCTCCCACCCTCCCTCCCTCCCACCCTCCCTCCCTCCCTCCCACCCTCCCCTCCCCTCTCCTCCTCCCCTCGCCCCTCGCCCCTCGCCCCTCACCCCCGCCATCACGGATGACGTGGGGAGGTCGCTGTGTGCTTGTCTGGGGGCGAAGAGTGCGGGGGATGGCAGTACGCGCGCGCCAGCGGCATCCCCACGCTCGCCTTCCCCGTCAACGCCAAGCTGCCGCCCAGCGAACAAATCGGCCTCTCGCCTGACGAGCTGCTCGCCGCCATGCGGTCAGTCTCTGCGTTCCTACCAGCACGGGATTCGACTCGTGCTTGCCTTGCCATTGCCAAACCCTGTTTCGCTTTCTCGCACTCGTGGCCGCACAGCCCCTCCCCCAGCTGCCTGATAAATCTGCTGCCACCACCCAGCTGCTCACCGCCACACCCATTCCCCTCCCCAACCCACTATCCCCCACTCACTTCACGGCCCAGGCAGCAGCACTACGTGGTGCTGGGGGTCACCTGAAGCTGCTGCCCGCCTCGCTGGTAAAGGCGTTCTCACTCAACCCCTACCCCTACCCACCCCTTTCAATCCCATCTGTTTACCCAGGCAGCACGCAGTGGACTGCATAGTGCTAGCGGGGTATCTAAAGCTGCCGCCCGCCTCTCCGCCCTTCTCCCCCAGCTCACCCCGTTCTCTTGCCTCCCTGGCCCGCACCCTTTCCACTCCTCCCACTCCCAGGCAGCACAGAGTGGAGTACATGGTGGTCCTAGCGGGGTATCTGAAGCTGCTCCCCGCTGCCCTGGTGGGAGCGTTTCTCACTCTACCTCTACCCACCCCTTCCACCTCCATCTGTTTGTGCAGGCAGCACAGAGTGGAGTACATAGTGCTAGCGGGGTACCTGAAGCTGCTGCCGGCCTCGCTGGCGATTGTCCTTTCACACCCTTACCCACTCTCGCTCCCACCACCAACTCTCTCCCCTCTCCCTCACGGCCCAGGCAGCACGGAATGAATTACATAGTGCTAGCAGGGTATCTGAAGCTGCCGCCCGCCTCTCCGCCCTTCTCCCCCAGCTCACCCCGTTCTCTTGCCTCCCTGGCCCCCACCTTTTACACTCCTCCCACGCCCAGGCAGCACGGAGTGGAGTACATAGTGCTAGCGGGGTATCTGAAGCTGCTGCCCGCCTCACTGGTAGGGTCGTTCCTTACTCAACCGTTCTGCACTTCTTCCACCCCCATCTGTTTGCGCAGGCAGCACGGGGTGGACTACGTGGTGCTAGCAGGGTATCTAAAGCTGCTGCCCGCCTCGCTGGTGGAGGCATTCCCGCGAGCCATCCTCAACATCCACCCCGCGCTGCTGCCTGCGTTCGGAGGCAAGGGCTACTATGGCATGCGCGTGCACAAAGCAGTCATCGCCTCTGGCGCCAGGTGCGTGCATGGGGTTGATGTGTTGTGGATGCTCTGGCGTGTGCTGTGGGTTAGTGCAGTGCAAGTCACATCGCCAGGCGGGTGGCAAGGGCTACTATGGCATGCACGTGCACAAAGCTGTCATTGCGTCTGGCGCCAGGTGCGTGCATGGGGCTGCCGTGCCGTGCTTGGGATGTTCTGGTGTGTGCTGTGATGTGGGTTGCTGCAGTACAGGTCACGTCGCCTGGTGGGTGGTAAGGGATTCTCGTTAACACTTCACCTCATCTCCCCTTCCCCAACCCCCTCCTTCCCCCCATAACAGGGTATCAGGCCCCACGGTGCACTTTGTGGATGAGCCTGTGTTGCCCTCACTCTTCCCTCCTACTCCAACCAACCCACTCTCCTTCATTTTTCCTCCCTCGCGCCACCCCCCTGCCAGGGTATCAGGCCCAACGGTGCACTTTGTGGACGAGCGGTACGACCACGGCCCCATAGCAGCGCAGGCGGTGGTGCCCGTGCTGCCCTCCGATGACCCCCCCGCCCTGCAGGCGCGCGTGCTCGCCCAGGTGGGTGTCTGTGTGCGTGGGTGGGTGGTTGGGTGAGTGAGAGGGTCCTCACCCAGGTCGGTGCGTGGGTGGGTGTCTGTGTACTGCCTGTGCGTGGGTGGGTGTCTGTGTACTGCCTGTGCGTGGGTGGGTGTCTGTGTACTGCCTGTGCGTGGGTGGGTGTTTGTGTACTGCCTGTGCGTGGGTGGGTGTCTGTGTACTGCCTGTGCGTGGGTGGGTGTCTGTGTACTGCCTGTGCGTGGGTGGGTGTTTGTGTACTGCCTGTGCGTGGGTGGGTGTCTGTGTACTGCCTGTGCGTGGATGGAGCTCCCACCACCTGCACGCCCCACCCCCCAGCCCTGCAGGAGCGTGTGTGTGCGTGGGTGGGTGGGCGGGGGGGCCTTCCCTGCTGAACCTAATGTGGCTGTTCTGCGTGTGCTGCGGGTTGTGTGAACATGACGGAGTAACTAACCACAAATGAAAACTCATGGGGAGAACGCTTTTCCTGAGTGGCGTGAAGCAACAGGCAGCAGTGGGTCGTTGCACTGATAATGGCTCCACTCACTCAATCAATGCTCGCACCTGCTTCCTCCCCCCTCTTATCATCTCTATCATGCTCTCTATCCAGCTCTCGTTTCCCCCCCAGATCGCTCAACATCTTCCCCTCGCGGCATTCTTTCCGGTGCCAATTTTCACACTCTTGCTGTTGACATAACCGCGCCCCTCCGTCCTGTACTTCACTGCTCTCTCGAAAGAGCCGGCTGCGTGTGCTGCTGGTGGGGAATGCTGTTTGCGCCACAGCAGGATGCATGAGGCCTTCCTTCCTCACCACTCGTTCCTTTTCACACATCCCTCTAAAGGCGCCTCAAAAGTCACATCAGCACCAGCTGTGTGTGTGTGTGCTGACAGCACTGTGCAGCGTCAGGTTGTCATGAGACCCCTTTCCTCCCGTGTGTTCTTGCTCCCTCCCTCCACATGCGTGACTCCACACACTCCCCCTCACACGAATGGCCATCTCCTCTGCTCTCAGGAGAACCGGCATTATCCGTGCGTGGTGACGCTGGCAGCACTATGAGATTTCAGAATGCGCCCTTCTCCCCCCTCATGTCTTTGATCCCACACCCCCAACCCCTCCCCCCTCATGTCTTTGATGCCACACCCCCAACCCCTCCCCCCCCATGTGCATGATCCCACGTGTCTGCTCACAGGCTGCCCTGCCGTTCCTCCAACATGTCCTTGCCGCCACACTTCCTCCCCCCTTCTTGTGTCGCCAACCCCTCTGTGCTGTCAGGAGCACCAACTGAATGTGTGGGGGGTGGCAGTGCTGTGCGGCATCAGGCTAGGCTCCCCTTCCTCCCACACATCCTCCCCCATGTGTATGAACCCCCCCCGCCCCCCCTCCCCCACCTTCTGTGTTATCAGGAGCACCAACTGTATGCGCGGGTGGTGGCAGCGCTGTGTGACGGCCGGGTGGAGTGGCGGGAGGATGGGGTGCCGCTCATCCGCACATCCAAGGATGGCAACGACTTCGAGTAGAGTGGCAATGGCTCGTCGTGGTTAGCGTGTGCGGTGGCAGCGTTGTGCAATGCAATGGTCAAGTGGAGTGGCGGGAGGATGGCGTGCCGCTCATTCGCGCAACAAAGGATGGCAACGAGTTTGAGTAGAGTGTGGTGCGGTGCATAGCGATGGCTCGTGGTGGTTAGCGTGTGTGTGGCAGCGCTGTGCGATGGTCGTGTGGAGTGGCGGGCTGATGGTGTGCCGCTCATTTGCACCACCAGGGATGGCAGTGAGTTTGATTAGAGTGCGGTGCAGAACAATGGCTCGTCATGGGTAGGGTGTGTGAGGTGCAATCCGTTTCTTATTTTACCACCCACATTTTTACCACCCTGGTGGTGTGCTGGCGCTGCTTCTTGTTCACAGCGCGGTGGACGGGATGGGATGGGATTGGAGCACGCAGTGGGGATGCAGTAAGTGTTGCACACGTGGGGATGCAGAGGGCGCCATGAGAACAATCAAACGAGCAGATATAAAATTATATGTGAAGGTGAATCATTTTGAGTTGGCTTGCAGATGTGCTTTGACTTGGCATTGTAACAACTAAGTAGGCTGCTGTATGCAGGGTTAATAATGTTGCAAATTTTGACTTATTTATATGTAGAAACTTTAGATGTGCACTAATCGTCGTGCAGCTCTATATCGAGGTTCCCACAGTAAAGCACTCCGCAGTTCCGCATGTTCGAACCAATCCACCCCTTGCACCTCGTCCGAAGCTACTGGCCCTCCCAAGGTGAAGCTGCGAGCACCATCCCAGTAGCGTGACAAGGAAGACTGTCTGTCGCTTGCCTCGTCTCGGATCGCAGCTCATCAACGCGTCTCACGCGCATACAGCGCATTTCCCTCATCGCCCGGTCCGTGTCGTTTTCGTTTGCGCCGCTCGTCGCGAGGGCGAGACGACAGCAGCGCGCGTCGAAATCGCCTCTCCTCGCAGCGAGTACATACCTGCCGCCACCCTCCTGTCGTTTGTTACTCACACGAATCAAAATCTACTGCAACTTACACTGATCCCCTTACCTACTAGCTCGGAATCTCCTCAGCGTTCGATCCGTTCGTCTTCCTCTCACTTCTTCGCGTTCATCGTTTCGCCAGCTCGTTTCGTCCTCCGCTCTCGTCCTCCTCCTCATCGCCGTTACCACTTCCTTTTTCCCTCTTTTCGATTTGAAGTCACCCCCGGCGCGTCCCTATGTTCGGCTTTTTCAAAAAGGGCAAGCCGCAGCAGCAGCAGCCGCAACCGCCGCCGGCCGGCCAGCCCGGATACCCTCCCCCCGTGGGGTACGCGCAGGGCGGCTACGCGCCAGCTGCGCCGCCGCCTGCGGGCTATGGCGGAGCGCCGGGAGGGTATGGGCAGGCGGGGGGATACGGCGGGGCAGCAGGGGGCGGCGGCGGGGGGAGGGCGCAGATGACGTTTCAGCAGAAGTACGGTTTCATTCCGGATTCGTTTCAGAACATTCAGCAGGTAGGGAGGCGGGTAAGGGGAAGGTGGGGCCTGAACCGAGCGCAGGTGGGGGAGGGGGGAGGGCGCAGATGACGTTTCAGCAGAAGTATGGATTCATTCCGGATTCGTTCCAGAACATTCAGCAGGTAGGGGGGGTGGGTAAGGAGAGTACAAAGGGGGAGGCGAGACGATGACGAGCAGAGCGCAGGTGAGAGGAGAAGGAAGGAAGTAAGCAGGGACATGCAGCAGGCCGGGTTATTGGATTGCCGTGGCGCGTGCTGCATGCGCAACGCGGGTGGCTAACGCTGGATGCACATTATGCCCCATGTGTGGCTGTGCGCCTGCCCGCACCTGCCTGCTGGCCTGCCTGCCTGCCTGCATCTCTCGCCTGTCTGCTCACTCGTCTGCTCGCGTGCCACTTGTGCTCGTGTGCTCGTATGCCGGCAGGTCCAGGAGAAGCTCCGAGAGGTGGGGCTGGAGTCCAGCAATCTAATCGTAGCCGTTGATTTCACCAAGAGCAACGAATGGACAGGTCAGATCTCCCCTTCCAACCACCCAGATACCGCATCGTTGCTCCACTCCGCTCCCCCCCGGCCTCACACTCTCTCGCTTGTTCCGCTCTCACCCACCCGCCCCTTTCGTTTCCATCCTGCAGGCAAGCACACGTTTGGCGGGCGGTGTCTGCACGCCATAGGGCCGCACATGAACCCGTACGAGCAGGCCATTCAGATCATCGGGGAGACGCTAGAGCCCTTCGACGAGGACAACCTCATCCCCGCCTTCGGCTTCGGCGACGGTCCGTGCCTACCCCATCCCCTCCTGTCCTCTCCATGATCTGTGGTAGTCGGCTGGTCCTGAGACGTCTCCCGTTCGGAACATGGGGGAGGCCCTCGATTTCGTCGATCAGGACGACGTCACATTCGTCGTTGGTGATGCTCAGTGGGTTGCTTGCTCCCCTCCCTTTCCGCCTTGCTGTGCGTTCACACATGCGAGCACGTGCAGGAAAGTAAGCCTGCATTCGAGGCTGCCACCATTCATTTCCCCCCGCCATTCTTTCCCCTTCATTCCACCCTCCCTTCTTCCCTCACTCCCCCTCCTCATCCCCATTGAGCAGCCACAACGCATGATAAGGCAGTGTTCTCATTCAACCGTGACAACCGGCCGTGCAACGGCATTGCAGAGGCGCTAGCACGCTACCGGGCCATTGCACCCCACGTCAAGCTCTCAGGTGCGCTGCTGCTGCTGTCCCCTCCCTTCTGCTCCATGCAGTTTCTTATCTCGTCTCGCGCTCCCGCCGCTGCGTCCCTCCCGTATCCTCATTCCCGGCCGCTTCCGTACCTCTCTTGCATTCCTTTGCTTGCTTACCTCCATTCACGCTCCCTCCACCCCACCACCGTCCTTCAACCTCCCTCTTCCAATCTCGCCCCCATGTGCAGGTCCCACATCCTTTGCCCCGGCAATAGAGGCAGCGGTGCGCATAGTGGAGGAGAGCGGGGGCAACTACCACGTGCTGCTCATCATTGCTGACGGCCAGGTGCGTACCTGCTCCGCTCCCTTGTTCACTCTTCACCGCCCGTCACTCCCATTGCCCCACACTGCCTCTCATTGTCCCCCCCCTCATGCCCCCTCGTGCCCACTTCCCCATGCCTCCCCCCTTCCTCTCGTCGCTTTTTCCCTCTTCCTCTCCCAACCTCTCTCTCACTCACTAACCTTTATCCGTCAGCTCCGCACCCCCCTTTCTGTCCTTTGCACGAACGGCCTCCTGCCCCAACCACCCCCCCCACAGGTGAGGTGACGTGACGTGCGGAGCGGACGTCCCGCCCGTGGCAGCTCTCCCACCTCTCTGCCCTCTCTCTTCCGCCTCTCCCGCTTTTCCGCCCCTCTACCCCCCCCCAGGTGACGCGCAGTGCGGACGTGCCGCCCGGGCAGCTGAGCAAGCAGGAGCGCGCCACTGTGGACGCCATCGTTGCTGCCAGGTGAGGGGTGCATTGCCGTGTATCGGGGTGCATTGGGGTGCAATGGGGTGCAATGGGGTGCATTGGGGTGCAATGGGGTGCATTGGGGTGCATTGGGGTGCATTGGGGTGCATTGGGGGGAAGAGCATTGGGGTGCAGGGCAGGGCAAGGTGCATAATCTAAGCAACGCATGCGCTTTGACCCACTCACCCACTGCTTCAACGCATGCTCTCTCGTCTCGTCCTACCTACCCTTTTCCCAACCCTTTCTCTCTTCCGCAACACTTACCCTGCCCCTCTCTCCCCACTCGCCCCAATTTCCGTTCACAGGCCGGTCCTTAATCGCTCACAAGTATTCAGTGCTCTTCTTTACTACTTCGCTCACTGCAGCCCCGCCCCACCCCCCCGTTACCAACTTACCGCCATTTCACTCCTTTGCCCCCTCTTCCCTCCCGTCTCCGCCCCTCCCCCCTCGTCCCTTCCCCACCCTGCCAGCAACTATGCGCTCTCCATAGTGCTCGTGGGCGTGGGAGACGGCCCCTGGGACGTGATGCACGGCTTTGACGACCTGCTGCCGGCTAGGGCCTTCGACAACTTCCAGGTACTCACCCTCTCCCTCTCCCTTTCCCTTTCCTTCTTCCTCTCTCCCCCCTGCTCTCTCCACTCCTCTCTTGCCCGCCCCTCCCTCGCACGCCGCAACGCCATGACCACCACCCCTTCCTGCCAGCAACTACGCGCTCTCCATAATACTCGTGGGGGTGGGCGACGGCCCATGGGAAGTGATGCACAGCTTTGACGACGGGCTGCCGCAGCGCAACTTCGACAACTTCCAGGTCGCCATGCCTGCCCGCCCTGCTCCTCTGCGCCGCCACCCCGTTGCTGCCTCTGGTCTTACTGAAGCGTTTCTTGCACGCTTCGCAACTTTGTTGACTTTTGAGGCGACTCAGAAGTCAACTTGTTACGCGCCGTGCAACGTGTCTTGGTGGTCTTCCTGTTGCATTGCACTGTCAAAAGTCGGGCATGCTACACACACACTGCCACACACCCTTACCTTTGTCAATCTCTCTTCTTGCCTCTCCTCTCCCTGTGCGGCTGTCATCTTGCACTGTGATCACCAGGCCTGTGATCACCAGGCCTGTGATCACCAGGCCTGTGATCACCAGGCCTGTGATCACCAGGCCTGTGATCACCAGGCCTGTGATCACCAGGCCTGTGATCACCAGGCCTGTGATCACCAGGCCTGTGACCACCAGGCGTGTGACCACCCCTCTTCCTGTGACCACCCCTCTTCCTTTCCATTCATCTTGTTTTATCTCACTCCACTCTCTTGCTCTCTATTCCCCACTTCCCTTGCCCCCCTTTCGAACACCTCCCCCCCCTGCCCCCCAACCCCACAACGTCTCCCTCACCCACAACGTCTCCCCCACCCCACAACGTCTCCCTCACCCACAACGTCTCCCCCACCCCACAACGTCTCCCCCACCCCACAACGTCTCCCCCACCCCACAACGTCTCCCCCACCCCACAACGTCTCCCTCACCCACAACGTCTCCCCCACCCCACAACGTCTCCCCCACCCCACAACGTCTCCCCCACCCCACGTCTCCCTCACCCACAACGTCTCCCCCACCCCACAACGTCTCCCCCACCCCACAACGTCTCCCCCACCCCACAACGTCTCCCCCAACCCACAACGTCTCCCCCACCCCACAACGTCTCCCCCACCCCACAACGTCTCCCCCACCCCACAACGTCTCCCTCACCCACAACGTCTCCCCCACCCCACAACGTCTCCCCCACCCCACAACGTCTCCCCCACCCCACAACGTCTCCCCCACCCCACAACGACTCCCCCACCCCACAACGTCTCCCCCACCCCACAACGTCTCCCCCACCCCACAACGTCTCCCTCACCCACAACGTCTCCCCCACCCCACAACGTCTCTCCCACCCCACAACGTCTCCCCCACCCCACAACGTCTCCCCCACCCCACAACGTCTCCCCCACCCCACAACGTCTCCCTCACCCACAACGTCTCCCCCACCCCACAACGTCTCCCCCACCCCACAACGTCTCCCCCACCCCACAACGTCTCCCCCACCCCACAACGTCTCCCTCACCCACAACGTCTCCCCCACCCCACAACGTCTCCCCCACCCCACAACGTCTCCCCCACCCCACAACGTCTCCCCCACCCCACAACGTCTCCCCCACCCCACAACGTCTCCCTCACCCACAACGTCTCCCCCACCCCACAACGTCTCCCCCACCCCACAACGTCTCCCCCACCCCACAACGTCTCCCCCACCCCACAACGTCTCCCCCACCCCACAACGTCTCCCCCACCCCACAACGTCTCCCCCACCCCACAACGTCTCCCTCACCCACAACGTCTCCCCCACCCCACAACGTCTCCCCCACCCCACAACGTCTCCCCCACCCCACAACGTCTCCCCCACCCCACAACGTCTCCCCCACCCCACAACGTCTCCCCCACCCCACAACGTCTCCCCCACCCCACAACGTCTCCCTCACCCACAACGTCTCCCCCACCCCACAACGTCTCCCCCACCCCACAACGTCTCCCCCACCCCACAACGTCTCCCCCACCCCACAACGTCTCCCCCACCCCACTACGTCTCCCCCACCCCACAACGTCTCCCTCACCCACAACGTCTCCCCCACCCCACAACGTCTCTCCCACCCCACAACGTCTCCCCCACCCCACAACGTCTCCCCCACCCCACAACGTCTCCCCCACCCCACAACGTCTCCCTCACCCACAACGTCTCCCCCACCCCACAACGTCTCCTCCACCCCACAACGTCTCCCCCACCCCACAACGTATCCCCCACCCCACAACGTCTCCCCCACCCCACAACGTCTCCCCCACCCCACAACGTCTCCCTCACCCACAACGTCTCCCCCACCCCACAACGTCTCTCCCACCCCACAACGTCTCCCCCACCCCACAACGTCTCCCCCACCCCACAACGTCTCCCCCACCCCACAACGTCTCCCTCACCCACAACGTCTCCCCCACCCCACAACGTCTCCTCCACCCCACAACGTCTCCCCCACCCCACAACGTATCCCCCACCCCACAACGTCTCCCCCACCCCACAACGTCTCCCCCACCCCACAACGTCTCCCTCACCCACAACGTCTCCCCCACCCCACAACGTCTCTCCCACCCCACAACGTCTCCCCCACCCCACAACGTCTCCCCCACCCCACAACGTCTCCCCCACCCCACAACGTCTCCCTCACCCACAACGTCTCCCCCACCCCACAACGTCTCCCCCACCCCACAACGTCTCCCCCACCCCACAACGTCTCCCCCACCCCGCCCCCCTCTCAGTGCACCCGTTCGTGGACTTGCAAATTCTAGCTCCGTCAAACGATGTGGGGAATTGTGGAGTGCACAACCTCAAGGCAATGTATTGCCCAGTGTCCACTTCCCTGTCCCCCCTGTATTCACCCCTTCCCCCCCCTGTTCTCCCCCACCCCTCCCCAGTTCGTGGACTGCTCGCAGATCCTGGCAGCGCCGGGGCCGCACGAGCAGAAGGCGGTGCGCTTTGCACTGAGTGCGCTCATGGAGGTGCCGCTGCAGTTCAAGGCGTGCAGCGAGATGGGTGCTCTGGGGTGAGTGGAGGAGGGGTGGGTTGGGGTGAGGGCAGAAAGATGGGTGTGTCGGGGTGAATGGGGGATGCATGGAAGGGTGAGCTGCTGTGTTTTGCACTGAGTGCGCTGATGGAGGTGCCGCTGCAGTTCAAGGCGTGCAGCGAGATGGGCACGCTGGGGTGAGTGGGGCACGCTGGGGTGAGTGGGGCACGCTGGGGTGAGTGGGGCGCTAACGGTTGAGCGGAGAGTTTTTTTGGGTGAGGGTAGGGGGCAGTGAGTGGAAAAGGTGTGGATGGGTGGTGGCTTGGTCCTCGTTCACATGGAGTGGCTCTCAATGGCCATCCATGGGCATCGCTTCTCCCTCATCGCAAGCATCTATCCTCCTCGTCATTCTTACCCCGTCCCCGGTTTCCCCACGTCCTGTGTCCCCCCCCCCCCCCCTCAATGGGTTCCGTGCAGCAAGCGCATCGGGCGCATGCCACCCACCCCGCCTCTGCCTCCCCCTCCACGAGTGCTCGAGATGGACGCTGCTGCTGCTTCGGGCATGGGATACCAGCAACAGCAACAGCCATCGCCGTATGGCCAGCAGCAACCGCCCCCCTACTACCAGCAGCAGCAGCAGCCGTACCCCGGTGCCCCTCCTTCCAGCTATCCCACCGTGCCCTCCGCCCCGCCTGCACCAGACCAGTTCCCTTCGCAAGAGGGGGGGTATCCGTCTCCTCAAGGCGGGTATGGGCAGCAGGGTGGTTACCCCCCTCAGCAGGGAGGGTATTCTTCTCAACAGGGTGGTTACCCCCCACAGCCGAATCAACAGGGTGGTTACCCTCCACAACAGGGCGGTTATTCTTCTCAACCTGGAGGTTACCCCACACAGCAGGGTAATAACCCTCCACAGCAGGGTGGTTATTCTTCCCAACCCGGCGGTTACCCTCCCCAGCACGCCGGGTCTCCAACTCAGCAGGGTGGCTACTCGTCGCAGCCAGGAGGGTATCCTCCTCCCCCACAGCAAGGCTACAAGCCGCCCTACTGACCGCCACACACGTGCTTAACCATGGCTCTCTCCCATCCCATTCCTCCCATGCCTTGCATGAATTGCATAGCTCCCCCACACTCGGACTACAAGGTGCCTTATCGACTGCCATTTCGGTGGAAGTTGTGTCACGCATCGCATGCCTTGCATAGATAGCTTCCATCACTGTAGAGACATGTTTTGCCGTTTCCTGGAATGATTGACATGCCAGCAGAGCTTGCTGTGCCAATGTACTGGCTGTGTCGGCCAGCAGAATGAATCAGTAGATTTGTTGGTTATGCATGACTTACACATACGTAGTGCTTTGTGTACCGTACATGTGGTGCTGGCAATGGAAACTGTAAATTCGTTTATTGCAAATGTAGTCAGTTGGCAACTGCACACTTCATCCTGCAGAGCAGGCAAGCAGTTAGGATAGCTTCGGCACACTGTAACGCACTGGTTACCAGCTGGATGTAAAGGCCCTCATGCCATGCCTTGCATGGTCTTTGAGTTGAGTCGCCTCAGAACCCAGCTGTGTGTCAGCAGCAACCGTGATGCCACCCGTGCACAGTCCAAGCTTCATGCACTGATTTACCTGCACCCACTCGTGCATGCTGGTACAGGCGCCTCCTAACACATGAAAGGCACAAACGGTAGCCCATGAGACTCCAGGCGTCAAAGCATCAGCCCCCTGATGGTGGTTACATGCATGACAGTTAGCATTCCCCCTCCACGTCCCCCACTCCCCCCTTGCGCCCATCCCCCTTTTGCCCACTCTATCACCTCCTCCCCTTGCCCCGTCCCCTGCGCCCACAGCTGCCTGCTATAGCACGCGACCCACAGCTGCCTGCTATAGCACGCGACCCACAGCTGCCTGCTATAGCACGCGACCCACAGCTGCCTGCTATAGCACGCGACCCACAGCTGCCTGCTATAGCACGCGACCCACAGCTGCCTGCTATAGCACGCGACCCACAGCTGCCTGCTATAGCACGCGACCCACAGCTGCCTGCTATAGCACGCGACCCACAGCTGCCTGCTATAGCACGCGACCCACAGCTGCCTGCTATAGCACGCGACCCACAGCTGCCTGCTATAGCATGCGACCCACAGCTACCTGCTATAGCACGCGACCCACAGCTGCCTGCTATAGCACTCGACCCACAGCTGCCTGCTATAGCACGCGACCCACAGCTGCCTGCTATAGCACGCGACCCACAGCTGCCTGCTATAGCACGCGACCCACAGCTGCCTGCTATAGCACGCGACCCACAGCTGCCTGCTATAGCACGCGACCCACAGCTGCCTGCTATAGCACGCGACCCACAGCTGCCTGCTATAGCACGCGACCCACAGCTGCCTGCTATAGCACGCGACCCACAGCTGCCTGCTATAGCACGCGACCCACAGCTGCCTGCTATAGCACGCGACCCACAGCTGCCTGCTATAGCACGCGACCCACAGCTGCCTGCTATAGCACGCGACCCAAAGCCCCAAAAGCCCCAAGAGCCTCACAGCCTCACAGCCTCAAACCATCAGCCCTCCTGGCAGTGCGTGTGGTGCATGGCCGCCAGCAGCTTCACCAGTGGCTCCTCCACGTCTCCAACTGCCCCCTTCCCCCCTACCTCCCCCTCACCGCGCTCCCTTCCCTGCCCCCTTCCCCCCGACCTCCCCCTCACCGCGCTCCCTTCCCTGCCCCCTTCCCTCCAACCTTAGAGACTCAAACCCCCACACCATTAACCTTCCTGGCAGTGCTTGTGGTGCATGGCTGCCAGCAGCTTCACCAGTGGCTCCTCCACATCTCCCACTGCCCCCTCGCCATGTCCTCGCCCCTCTCCCCTCCCCTCCCCCTCCCCGCAACTATCGATCCCGCTGGCAGTGCGTGTGGTGCATGGCTGCTAGCAGCTTCACCAGTGGCTCCTCCACATCTCCAACTGCCCCCTTCCCCTCAACCCCCCCCTCGCCCCGCTCTATCACCTCCTCCCCCTCTTCCGTCACCAGCACCACCTTACTGCCACGTGTCAGCAGCTCATTGGCCACCACCGCATGCACCTGGTTCTTCTGCAGGGCTGAGCGCGCCTTGCTGAGCAGAATGCTGCTGTCCGTCTCCAGCTGGGGAAGGGCAGAAAGGCGAGGGGTTGGGGGAGAGGAAGTGGGGTTCTTTACGGTGCAATATGCTGCTGGTCATCCCCAACTGGGAAATCGGGGAGGAGGGATGGGGACAAGGGTTTGTGAAGATGACATCACATCTCCCTTGCCTCTCCCCTATCCTCTCAACGACGTGACACACCGAATCCATTCCCCTGGTCCACCCTTGCATCGCATATTGGTTTCCTTTTCAGGCTACAAGAAAATCAGAAGCATCGCATGCTCGCATGACACTTGGGTGCGACGGAGTGCAGCAAGAGCAAGGAAGAGGCAGGGCAGCGGAAGGAGAGCGTGGCGAGGCGGGATGGGTGGAGAGGCGAGTGAGTGTGAGGTTGTGAGGTTGTGAGGGTGGGAGGGTGGGAGGCGGACCTTGAAGGAGACGAGGAGGGCGGAGGGGCACCAGAGGGAGCGCAGGAGGGGAATCATCTTGGGCACGCGCGCCAGGTGGATGTCCAGTGGGCCTGCACCCGACTGGATCTTGTGCTCCACCTGGCGTGAGGAAGGGAAGAGAGGCGGGGAGTGGGTTGTGAGACATGTCAAAGTCATCTTGGGCACGCGCGCCAGATGGATGCCCAGGAGGCCCACGCCCCACTGGATCGTGTGCTCCACCTGGTGAGAGGGGGAGGAAGGGGGGAGAGATGTGGGACGGATGGTGGAGAGTGGGAGGGATGGTGGAGAGTGGGAGGGATGGTGGAGAGTGGGAGAGAGGTATGCGGGGTGCAGGGTGGGTGCGAGTGGCATGTGCTGGTGTGGTGTGGGTTGAAGCAAGAACGAACATGGTCAGTGGTCAGTGGGCCCGGCCAGTGGGCGACTGCATTGTGTGCTCCACCTGCCAGGGAAGGGTAGCATGGCGGGGATTGGGCAGGGTGGCGGCAGTGTGCAAGACATATGGCATGCCCTAGCAAGTACATGGAGTCCGGAGGGCCTGCCTGGAGAATCCCCCCTCAGGAGTGGGAAAGGGATAAACGGCCCATGGAGGGACGGATGGGTGATAGTTGCATGGCGTGCGGACGTGGCCACACTAGGAAGGCATGGCATGGCACAACGTAGCCGGGAACGGCACGGCGCGGCAGGGAAGGGCATGGCATGGCATGAATTGGCATAACATGACATCATTGGTTCAGCACTTAGGGGTTAGGGTCAGGGTGTTCCATGGATGAATTAAGGTAGAGAATTTATGGACAGAGGGGGTTAGGGTAAGGTTGTACCATGGAGGGCCAGGGCACAAAGAAGTCAGACACTGCTGCTGCCAGGTAGACCATGCCACGTGGACCAATGGGGTTCAAGGCTTCTGCCACCAGGCGAAGCAACTGGGGAGGGGAGGAGCGGAAAGGAAGAGGAAAGAAAGGGAGGCGATAAGTCGGGAGGTGAAAGGCCAAGTGCTGGCAGTTGGGAGGTGAAAGGCCAAGTGCTGGCAGTTGGGAGGTGAAAGGCCAAGTGCTGGCAGTTGGGAGGTGAAAGGCCAAGTGCTGGCAGTCGGGAAAGGCCAAGTGCTGGCAGTTGGGAGGTGAAAGGCCAAGTGCTGGCAGTTGGGAGGTGAAAGGCCAAGTGCTGGCAGTTGGGAGGTGAAAGGCCAAGTGCTGGCAGTTGGGAGGATGGGATGGCATGGGAGCAACTCGAGACCGACAACAGCCGACTTGAAGGGGTTGAGCTGCTTGTAGGAAACAAACAAGAGGACATATCTTAAGAAGTGATGGAATCTAAATGCCTGTCACAGTCCTGGTAGTCATTTTCACCCAGCAGCAGCCACAGAAATGATGAACCACGTTGACAATCGAATATACTGACGTGCAACGGGGAGGGTCAAATGTCGTAAGAGAGTATCTTGAAGAGCTTCCAGGCTGCACTTACACGAGCCGCACGAGCATGAATCATACGAGTCCCGACCTGGAAACTGCAGTGAATCCTCTCATGTTTTTGCCTGTTTGAGCCTCTTGTAACGCACAAGCGGCTGTGGAGGGGATCACTATCAGCACGAGCGCTCTCGTGATGGATGCTATATCGGTGGACGCTACGGGAGAAGGGCGGCACCTGCAGGTACTGGAAGAGCAGCTCACCTGCAGGTACTGGAAGAGCGGCTCACCTGCAGGTACTGGAAGAGCGGCTCACCTGCAGGTACTGGAAGAGCAGCTCACCTGCAGGTACTGGAAGAGCAGCTCACCTGCAGGTACTGGAAGAGCAGCTCACCTGCAGGTACTGGAAGAGCAGCTCACCTGCAGGTACTGGAAGAGCGGCTCACCTGCAGGTACTGGAAGAGCAGCTCACCTGCAGGTACTGGAAGAGCAGCTCACCTGCAGGTACTGGAAGAGCAGCTCACCTGCAGGTACTGGAAGAGCGGCTCACCTGCAGGTACTGGAAGAGCGGCTCACCTGCAGGTACTGGAAGAGCAGCTCACCTGCAGGTACTGGAAGAGCAGCTCACCTGCAGGTACTGGAAGAGCAGCTCACCTGCAGGTACTGGAAGAGCAGCTCACCTGCAGGTACTGGAAGAGCGGCTCACCTGCAGGTACTGGAAGAGCAGCTCACCTGCAGGTACTGGAAGAGCGGCTCACCTGCAGGTACTGGAAGAGCGGCTCACCTGCAGGTACTGGAAGAGCGGCTCACCTGCAGGTACTGGAAGAGCGGCTCACCTGCAGGTACTGGAAGAGCGGCTCACCTGCAGGTGCTGGAAGAGCGGCTCACCTGCAGGTACTGGAAGAGCGTGGTGAATGGCAGCAGCAGTAGCCGCCCTCCCTCCTGAGCCTGCACGGAGTAGAGCGGTGGTGTGCGTTGCACAGAGATGGAAAGCGGTGAACAAGGAAAGGAGCGGACGGCATTTCTTGAACCAGGAAACGACACAGCAAAGCCAAGGGCCATGCGGGGAATGCCAGGGGTGCAAGCGGTGTGCACAAGCCATGGGTCAGGTGGGTGCTGGAGCACCTGAGTGAGAAAAAACACTCTCGGTTGGCCTAGCGTACCGCGCAAAACACTAGAGTGGATACGCTTCACGCTGCATGCTTGCTAGGGTTTACGCGATATTCTAGAGAAGTAAAAGCTGGGCTGCACAGGCAAACCAATGGAGTCTTCCGGGCGACATTTCACGTTTTAGAGATTCACTGCGAAGAGTCGTCAACTCTAGATAAGGACTGCTTCACCACAAACTTTTTCTCCCACCCTTGTACTACCCCCATCCCCATTGAATTCCACTCTCTCTCCCTATCCAACCCCTCCACTGTCGTCAGCACTCTATGCCCTGAAGGGGCCTGCTTGTAGCTTCACCTGTATTCTCGCTGCCGCAACTCAGCCCTAACTCACGATCGCACTGGGCCATTTCACGATCTCCCTAGAATGCCTAGCTCCTTACCTGCCCTCTTTCCCCTTTCCCTTCTCCCTCCCCTCAACCCCGCCAAGTATTTTCAGGCCCTTTTCCAGGGTTGTTTTTACCTGACCGGCCATGCATGTTCCTAACTAGTGTATGCCCTATCACCCCCAAGCGTAAAGCACAACTTCCTGAGCGTTTATATGCTAATTTAGCATCAATACGCTAATGTAAAACGCACTTAGTGTAAATCTCACTAGAGAGCGCACCTGATTGAACATGAGAACGGCTCGATGCACAGCATCTGTGTAGGGCGGAATGGCTGGCAGGGGCAGTGAGGGGGGAGGAGGGCGACAAGGGATGTGGTAGCGGGACATGGGGTGGGAGACAGGGAATGAGGGAGGGGGGGATTAGGAGGCGAAAGAATGATTTGCATGGCACGAGGAAGCGAGTGGATAAAATTAGTAAAGAGTTGCTGTCGAAAGTGGTTCCAAACTGTCAGCTATGACACAGCACTGCACCCTACAGCACCGCACCCCATCGCCTGCCAGTCAGGAGCACGCACGCACCTTCAAGGTACATTCGCCCGGAACCGCTGCCACTGCTCTGTGCCGCACTGGCACTCTTCTCCCCACTGCCTCCCTGTTCTCCGCTCACTCCCTCCTCCCCACGCCCACTGCCCTCGCCTTGCCCCTCCTGCTGCACGCACTGGGCAGCACTACCCTCGCCCTCACCCCGGGGGGTGTCAGCAGCGGGCGTGGCTCGCAGGCACGTGAGGAGAGGAGACTCGGGCAGGCCGCGGCAGAAGGGACGCATGGAGCCCCTGGCGTGGAGGAGTAGAGAAGAGGAAGAAGATTAAAAAGGAGGAGGAGAAGGACCTAGTATGGAGGCGGGACTCTGGGAGGCCGCGGCAGAAAAGACGCATGGAGGCCAGCGCAGTGTGGTGGGAATGGGACGGGTGATATTGGAGGTGTGGTAGTGAGAGGAGGAGGAGGAGGAGGAGGAGGAGGAGGAGGAGGAGGAGGAGGAGGAGGAGGAGGAGGAGGAGGAGGAGGAGGAGGAGGAGGAGGAGGAGGAGGAGGAGGAGGAAGGAAAAGGATGGGGAGGACGACGTGAGGAGAGTGAAACATGAGCAGTGAGAAGCAAGGAGAGAGAGTCGATTTTTCGTGCGGCGAGACACACGCAACACGCTGTGGCCGTGGCAGTGACGTGGCGGTGGTAGTGACGTGGCAGTGGTAGTGACGTGGCGGTGGTAGTGATGCGACACACTTCCTGAGAGAACCACAACACATACCTACGAGTGCTATTTACACCTCAGGAATGCGCTCCTTATGTGCATTGCCTAACAGCACAAATGAATGGGTGCTGGTAGCGACTGACTGCAGGCGCGCTGAGTGAAGCGCGTGGCAGAAAGAGAGAGCGAGCACATGCAGAGTGGCAGTTGCAGAGAGTGCAGTGCAGAGCATGGTCGTGGTTGCAGTGAGTGCAGTGCAGAGCATGGTCGTGGTTGCAGAGAGTGCAGTGCAGAGCATGGTCGTGGTTGCAGAGAGTGCAGTGCAGAGCATGGTCGTGGTTGCAGAGAGTGCAGTGCAGAGCATGGTCGTGGTTGCAGTGAGTGCAGTGCAGAGCATGGTCGTGGTTGCAGTGAGTGCAGTGCAGAGCATGGTCGTGGTTGCAGAGAGTGCAGTGCAGAGCATGGTCGTGGTTGCAGTGAGTGCAGTGCAGAGCATGGTCGTGGTTGCAGAGAGTGCAGTGCAGAGCATGGTCGTGGTTGCAGAGAGTGCAGTGCAGAGCATGGTCGTGGTTGCAGAGAGTGCAGTGCAGAGCATGGTCGTGGTTGCAGTGAGTGCAGTGCAGAGCATGGTCGTGGTTGCAGTGAGTGCAGTGCAGAGCATGGTCGTGGTTGCAGAGAGTGCAGTGCAGAGCATGGTCGTGGTTGCAGTGAGTGCAGTGCAGAGCATGGTCGTGGTTGCAGTGAGTGCAGTGCAGAGCATGGTCGTGGTTGCAGTGAGTGCAGTGCAGAGCATGGTCGTGATTGCAGTGAGTGCAGTGCAGAGCATGGTCGTGATTGCAGTGAGTGCAGTGCAGAGCATGGTCGTGGTTGCAGTGGCGACACACACACACACGCACGCACGCATGCACGCACACACCCACACCCACGCAAACACACGCACACACACACACACACGCACACACACGCGCGCGCGCGCGCGCGCGCACACACACGCACACAGGAAAATAGCATAGGAGTGGGCAGCATACCGCCTGTGCAGGAAGATCACGGAGTAACCCTGGGCGAGGAAGTGCCTGCACGCAGGGGGGAACGGTCGCCACGTATGCATGCACACGGATGTGGAGTGGTTGGGAGCGGTGGAGAGGATAAGGGGGAAATGTGTGAGTGTGGTAGGTGATGTGGAATGGAAGGGCTGAGTGGCGTAAACGCACGGAGAGGGGCAAACACGTTTTCCGAAAGGCAAGAGACGGAGATGAAAATGCACGTGCGAGACGAGATCTGCTTTTGAGGCGCCTCAAGAGACGGAGATGAAAATGCACGTGCGAGACGAGATCTGGCAGTGTCTCGAGCACGGAAACTGCCGTTGCACCCGGCACAGGGCGGCAGGACGCATCGCAGCAAAGGGAGGAGCTGATGATGGGGAGGGGCTCGTTCACCCCATCCCAAACTCTCACTCGCAGGAGGCGGCCCCGCGGTTGCCGGCGCTGAAGTTGTCAATGAAGCGCACACAGCGCCGCTCCAGAGGTACTGTCGTGCCGCCCGATGTCACACACGTTACCAGTGGGGCGCCCCCAGGCTGCTGCGATGCTTGCTGCAAGGAAGGTGAGGGGAGGGAAGGAAAGAGAGGAGGGGGGGTGTGAAGCTGTCAATGAAGTGCACACAGCGGCGCTTTAACGGCAGTGTTGTGCCGCCTGACGTCACACACACGACTAGGGATGCACCACCACGCTGCTGCGACGCTTGCTGCAAAGGAGGGGGGGGGGGGGGGGGGGGGGGGGGGGGCGGAGGAAAAGAAGGGGCGGGGACGGGAAGCGGGAAGAATGAAGTTGTGGATGAAGCACACACATCGGCGCGCCAGGGGCACTGTCGTGCCGCCCGACGTCACACATGCCACCCGGGAGGCACCCCCCAGGCTGCTGTGATGCTCGCTGTAGAGGGAAGGCGGGTGGGGCGGGGGGGTTAGGGGGAGAGGCGAGAAAGAGCAGAAACGAGGGGGAAGGGAGGGTGAATGGGTGCAGCAGCACCGGGGTGAATGGGTGCAGCAGCACCGGGGTCCCGCCTATGCCGTGCATGACACGGCAGCAGCACTGAAGGAGCGGTGAGGGAGGAGGGATGGGCAGCAGGGACGAGCGTGGCGTGGAGGCACTGAAACTGAAACGTGGGCGTGCAGAGCGGGGAAGACGGGAGAACGAGCGAGCGGGGCAGGCGACTTTTGGGGCGCCTCAAAAGGGAGGATGGGGGCTGTGGAGTGTGGAGGGGCGCGGGTGCATGGAGACTGGGGCCAGTGAGTGGTGCTCGGTCATGCTGGGGGCGAAGAGAAGCACGATGGGAGCGGTAACAGGAGTGGGGGCGTCGCCATTCATCATCAGGGGCAGCATGATGGCCGCATGGACATGGCAGGCCGCATGGGGAAGGCCGCTCATAATGTTCGTGATGCTGATGATGACGTGGCGTACGATGAAGGCCGAAAGCTGCTCCTTGATGACGTCAGCTTCTGCGAGAGGTGGTGACGTGGCGAAAAACTCCTCCCATGACACGTCAGACTCGTCCATGTGGCCGCTATAACGAGGCGGTCGGCTTCCGAGGCGCCAAGAACGCAAACGCGGACGCGAATTTGATGGCTGGTGGCGTGGATGGATGGTGACGTGGATGGGTGGTAACGTGGATGGGTGGTGACGTGGATGGTGACGTGGATGGGTGGTAGGATAACTCTGCTACCGACCCCGACGACCTATGTGCGACGCGAGAGCCACTGTGAGGTGAGAGCCGCTGCGCGCGGGAAAAAAGTACGTCGGAGCTGCAGCGGGGGAGGCTAGAGCGCGCTACGCGGTGTCAATGCGCGCGTGGCAGGCGCGATGGCGCGACGGAAGGACGCGACGTGCGGGACCGTGGAGTGCCGCGGCACGGTTAGCGCGGTGAGTGGAAGGATAGTGTGAGCACGCGGGAAGCACGCGGAGCTAGAGGAGCATGTGCCGTTAGGGGCATAGAAACCCCTTCGCTGAATGCGTCAAGCGTTCAGTTTCGGAATGTCATTGGGTGCTGTAAATCCGTTCAGGCTTGTTTCGGTCTGGGTGAGCCAAGGATTCATGTTTATGTTCGTAAATAAATCCTGGTGGGATTCGAGCCAACCTGGCCCGTCCAAACAGCTGCTGTTGTAGGATGCGAAACTGGCGAGTTCCTGGCTGTGGCGAACCTGTGCGAAATGTAACCCCTGATCACAGTAGGGTTGATTGAACTTCGACTCTTGCTTCGCAAGGAGGAACTTGCCAAGGCTACTTGTTACATTCATGTCTCACAGCACCCCGAACCTCATTTTCTGAATTCCCACCAACCTCTTGTCTCGCACGTCCCGTCGCTGAGGTCTTGTTGTCGCACGCCCATCGCTCGCTGCTCGTCGCGAGGCAGTCGTCGATCGCTCATCGTCGCTTCCGCCCTGTCGCCCTCTTAACTTCTACCCCGCGCGTTCCCCGCTCTCCGCCCTTCCACAGCCCACCTCCACGCGCCACTCTATCTCAATTGCACCAACGGCATCGCCTTTCCCGCTTGTAGCATGCGACGGTTGAGCGACGCGCGGAGGGTCACACGATAAGGATGGGAGAACGACAGAATCGCGGCATACGCTCGGAGTAAAGAGGCGTGAACTGGAATGAGGCTCACACCCCTGGCGTGAAGAGTTCGGAGAGAGGCAAGGGGCGGGCGAAGGGTGGAGGGCAAGAGAGGATTGCGGAGGGACGGGCGGAAGGGAGGAGCGCGGGGAGGGACGGGGAGAGGGGGGAAGAGGGAGGTGAGAGGAGAGGGGGAGGGGTGAAGGAAATGTTTGTGAAAGAGTGTGAGAAAGGCCGACACATATGATTGGTCAGCACATTCAGTCGTGCTCACACGCTCGTTAGGATAGTGTCTCGCGTTCCCACAAAGGCCCGAAGCAGCACGGGGGGGTGGAGGAGGCGAGGGGCGGGTTGGGCGGCATGGAGGAGGGGATGGTGCAGCTGCAGCAGCGGCTGAGGTCTGCGGAGGCCAAGGCGGAAGAGGTGCTGCTGGTGAAGCAGGAGGTGAGCGGTGCAGTGCGGTGCTGGTGATGTGGGAGAGGAATTCAGTGTAGGCTAGAGAAGCTGCTAGAAGATGTCTGGATCACATCGCCAACCTCACTCACTCTCTTGCTTCGATGCTGAGGCGGGTGTGCTGTGGCCTGTGGCGCCTGTATCCTCCCCCCCCATCCCTACCCCCCACTCTTCCTCCGCTTTTATTCCTTCTTAGGGTATGTCACACCAATCCTCGTACCACCATGTGGCACACAGAAAGCATCATATTGTATTGCACGCCATCGCGTCACACCGCACATCACACATTCACATCACATCACACCCTTCCTCACGCCACCACACTCATTCCCCCCACCTCCCCTTCACCTCTCCCATCCACTGTGCCTCCCGTTTCTCCCCCCATCTCTTGCCGTTGCCCATCCGTTTCCCCATCCGCACTCCCCTCTCCCTCCCTCACCTACTGGATCCGAACGGGCAGCGCGTGCCGCCAGGGAGACCATTGCAGCTTCCTCCTGTCCTCTCTGCATCCACGCCTGTACCCCTCTCAACCCCCCCATCCCCACCCGCCCTGCACTTATCCCCTCGTGTACATTCCCACTCCCAACGCCAGGGCAGTGCGGATGGCAACAAAAGGGTGGCACAGTGGACGGGCGAGGTGAAGCTGGGGGGGGGGGGGGGGAGGGGAGGAGCGCAGAGCAGTGCGCGCAGGGAGGCTGCCACAGCTCTGCACAATTCCCTTTCGCCCCACCTGCCCTTCACTTACCTTGTCCCCTTTCCTTCCTCCGCCCCTCCCCTTCCCCTTCGCCATGTCCTCCCATCCAACCCCAGCTAGTGGATCTCGATCGCCAGCACAATGCAAGCAGCCAGGCCGTCACGGCTGTGAACAACCATTTTCCAGCTTCGCTTGTCTTGTCCCCTCTCTCTCTCCCCTCCCCTCCCCTCGCTCCGTTCCCCACCCCTCCCCGCCCCCTCCAGCTAGTGGACCTGGATCGCCAGCGCAATGCAGGCAGGGAGGCCATCACAGCGCTCAAGAAGCATGCCAGGGGGGCGGCTGCCAGGAGAGCAGGGGGGCGCAGGGAGGCGGGCTCTGGGGGAGGTGCTGCTGGGGGAGGTGTATCGGCAGAGGCGCACCGGCCACTTGTTACCCCCCTGCCTGCGGTGCCAGTTGGCACGTCAGGATTGGATGGGAGTTCAGAGTGTGCGGTGTGTGGGGCGGTGGGGCAGAAGGAGCGAGTGTGGGTGGTGATGGGCGGAGGGGAGATGTTTGTGCGCTTGCCCCTGCACCATGCGCACGTGCATGTGAAGCGAGGTGAGCGAGGTGAAGGCATGTACTTTGAAGCACTACTTGTCGCCTGCGAGTCACCCTAGCAGTTGCTCCATCCTTCCTTCCAGGCGACCCACCGAGCCTGTCTCTATCCTGCCTTTCCAGCTCTTCACCTCGTCCTTCCAGCCATTGATAGCTCATTGCCCTGTCTTATACCTCTCTGTCTGGTTCTTTCAGCCATTGACCCTCTTTGGCCCATACTCCCCATCAGCCATTGACCCCATTGACCCTCATTTCCCCCATCCCCCATCAGGCATTGACCCCCTTTTCCCTCTCTGTGTCCCCCACTGCCCCGTCCTTCCAGCTGTTGACCGCATTGACGTGCAGATGGAGGAGGGGAGGGAGAAGCAGAAGGCGGCAGTGAGGCAGCTCACAGAGGAGGGCGGGCTGGCAGGCCGGGTTGGCGAGGGCATAGTGCATGCCTTGACCACGCTGAAGGATGCTGGTAAATAGGGCGTGGGTTGGGGTGTTGTTGTAGCTTCCCTTGTCAGCTGTGTTCTTCTTGCCTTCTGTCCAGCCAATTTGGCACTAGCCTCGGCCAGCAGAAAATTTTTATCCATCAGCAGCAAGGGTTAAATTTCCAGGTGTCATTACTCTGATTTTCAGAGTGTTCTTGAACACAAACTAAAATGCTGAACTCAGAAGCAAGCGCTTATTTCTCAGACACTTGACACGTTTTTTGAGACTAGTTGACGAGATGCCGCTTCTTCTAATGTTTTATCGTAACAGAAATGTACGGTACCGCTTTATTACAGTGTTATCCCGCCAGACTCATGGACTCAGCTGGTCGCACCTGGTCTTGTTCTTGACTGAGGATTGCGCTGTACAGCACCCTTACAGACTGGACTGCCACTCCATTCGACGCTATGCCAGGTCAATGTCTGACCCGACGACGGGTCGTCACTCACACCGACCATTGATTGGGCCTTGGCGCTTCGCAGTTCGAATATCCCCTTCTCGTGCTTATCTTCAAGCAACGCGATTAGCTGTGCAAGTTGAGCTCTGATTCGTCGATGAGGTTTCGAAACTCAAAATGACGTGGCAAGGTAACATACAGCACCGACCGGCATTGTTGATTGGTCGGAGAGGGCTATACTGTACTTGACGAACCAGACCAGACCCTTCCAAAGCTGTCCTAGGCGTTTCTATAAAATTATTTCGTAAGAGCCCCAGTTTACAACGCAACTAAGAACGGTAACCCTGGGATGGATGATAGAGGGAACTGAGTGGAGTGCCCAGGCACGAGAAATAAATAGTGGCGAGTGGGTTGTTGGTGAGAGGGAGAGATGTGAGAGATTCGGGATGGGGAGCAACACGTCACATTTTTGTCCCCTCTCATCACATCGTGTCTCTTTGTATAAACGGGTATTGAGAGAATGAAGAGCACTTGCCCCAGCATCATCTCGCAAATCCTCTCCTAGCGCGCGGCGCGGGTCCTTTCTTGCAATCACTGGCAGAAGCAAATGCGATGCGATGTGAGGTGCTTGCAAGACTGGCAACATAGGCACGGAGTTGGGGTTGGGGCGCAACCAGTTGAATCACATGGGTGCGCGGTTCGGGAGCGCGGCGTTAGCGACTCCCGCCGTCACGGCTCGGAATGGACGACGGGGGGGGACCAACTCCAATTCAGCCCTTTCGAGTCGAGACACAAGCGCCGAAAGCAAGAAGTGCTCGCGGGGATGACATAATGTACATAAAAGGGGACATGCGAGTTGCAATGTCCTATCACCAGCAATTTCGGTCTCCCCAGCCTCGCTCTCCTTCAAACCTGCCTCCTTCGCTCTGTGGCTAGCTCAAACTTGCTAGCCCTCTGCAGACGCCTCGAGTCAGGCGGTCGACGGAGTCGAAGCGCGAGCAGAGCAAGAACCGCGCGTTATTCAAGCCGGCAATAGCCACTCCAGCACGTTACCATGATGAACTTCTTTGGCGGCGGCTCGTCGGAGGAACAGTCGAACGCGAATGCTGAGGGAGGCGAGTCGTACGGCGCAGAGAATCTTTCTCTGAATGAGGAGAATGCTTACGGGTCGTCGGGTCAGACATCCGAGGGGTATGTGACGGAGAGTGTGGTTAAGAAAACTGAGGGCTATGGGGGACAGGAGTCTGAGGGGTACGGCGCCCAGGAGAGTGGGGGGTATTCGGGTGATAACAACGAGGGGAACAATGCGGAGGGGGGGAGCGGGTATAACGCGGATAGCGGCAGTGGGTATAATGCGGAGAAGGGCAGTGGGGATAACGCGGAGGGGGGCAGCGGGTATAACGCAGAGGGGGGTAGCGGGTATAACGCAGAGGGGGGCAGCGGGTATAACGCGGAGGGGGGAAGCGGGTATAATGCGGAGAGCGGCAGTGGGTATAACACCGGGGGGGGCAGTGGGGATAACGAGGAGCGTGGAAGCGGGTATAACGCGGAGGGAGGCAGCGGGTATAATGCGGAAAGCGGTAGCGGGTATAATGCGGAGCGGAGCAGTGAGGAGAACACGGAGGGGGGAAGCGGGTATAACGCGGATGGGGGAAGCGGGTACAACGCCGAGGGGGGTAGCGGGGAAAACGCGGAGGGTGGAAGCGGGTATAATGCAGAGGGGGGCAGCGGGTATAACGCTGACGGGGGCAGCGGATATAACGCGGAGCGAAGCAGCGGGGATGACGCGGAGGGGGGTAGCGGATATAACGCGGACGGGGGCAGCGGATATAACGCGGACGGCGGCAGCGGATATAACGCGGACGGCGGCAGCGGATATAACGCGGATGGGGGAAGCGGGTATAACGCGGACGGGGGCAGCGGGTATAACGCGGAGGGAGGGATCGGTGGGGGAGGATACTAGAAGGCATCTTCTCTCTCTTTGCGCCGGAGCCGCTTCAGGCGGCTTACGCAACTGAAGCGGCCACAGCGGCTCCGGCGGGGAGGTGGGCGAGGCGGCTTCGGTTGAGGCAGCGGAGGAGCAAGTCGAAGACATGGGCGTGGAAGCGGGTGGAGGATGTGGCGGGAATGGCGGAAGCGGTAGGAGTGGGAACGGGAAGGTAGAGGAGAAGCTACCGTTCTTTTTTATTTTCGTTCTTTCTTGCTCCTTAGTTTGCATTGCTTTTGCTTTGTTTGGAGAAGAGACTTGGAAGCTCCGTGTAATGTGCTCTTTGATATTTGAAGTCTACAATGCTTAAAGACAGCAACAGATAAAAGGGTGTAGTTAGCGGGTCCATTTAGTCCCTACCATGTTGGTGACAAACTTCTTATGGTGAGCATCTCCCCCACGTCTGGTCCGTGCATGCGCCATATGATCAGCACTCGGATGGGCATGTACCCGCTGCCCCCCTCCGCATTATACCCGCTTCCATGCCCATGCATTAAAGCAGCGGTATGCATCAGGGCGATAGAGTTTAGGGTAAACGTCTAGCTCGCAGCAAGGGTAGGAAATCCGCCGCCACGCAAGCACACGAGCAGCCTCGCGTAGGATCCCAACCTATCTCTCGTCATATCCTCCGACATTTCGCCGTGCCTTCCCCTCGCAGCCTCGACCCATTGCTGCCTCATCGCTGCGCACTGACGCCGGACCACGCCATAGCTCAAGCCGTCGCCGCGCCGCCGAAAGGCGCCGTATAGAGCCAGGGTTCGAAATCCCGCCAAGCCTCTATTAGGTGATTTCTTCGCGCCGAGCTGCATCCCCTCGTCGCCCAAGGCGGCTTGGCTTCGCCGCATCAGGCTGGTCCCTCACGCCACTGAGAATACGACGAGCGACTCTGTAGAGTGCCTAGTAGCGGCACGCACTAGCAGAATCGCAGTTGCCGCGCGCAGCTCTGTGGAAGGGCGTGCCCGTTTCCGCACTAGCTGATCAAGTCACAGGTGTGTTCGCGACACGGAACCGAAACGGCCACACGGTCCCGCTAGCTTCGCTCTCCAACCCTACTCCCATCCCGCCTCACTACGGGATCCTATTACCGCCTCCCAAACTTCCCTATCCGCCTCTCAATGTCACCTTCCCGCACACACTTCTCGCCTTCCAGCTTCGCGTTTTCCATTGCCCGCCTCTCAATCTCCCCTTCCCACCATCCGTACAAAACTCCAGCCGACTCCCTTTCTCCCCTTCCCGCATCCCGTTCTCCCCTTCCCAAGTCCCGATCCTCTTCCTGCCTCCCGTTCTCCCATTCCCGCCATGCGATCTCCTCTCCCCCCCTCCCGATCTCCTCTCCCGCCTCCCGATCTCCTCTCCCCGCCTCCCGATCTCCTCTCCCCGCCTCCCGTTCTCCTCTCCCTGCCTCCCGTTCTCCCATTCCCGCCATGCGATCTCCTCTCCCCCCCTCCCGATCTCCTCTCCCGCCTCCCGATCTCCTCTCCCCACCTCGTTCTCCTCTCCCCACCTCGTTCTCCTCTCCCCCCCTCCCGATCTCCTCTCCCGCCTCCCGATCTCCTCTCCCCACCTCGTTCTCCTCTCCCCACCTCGTTCTCCTCTCCCCACCTCCCGATCTCCTCTCCCCGCCTCCCGTTCTCCTCTCCCTGCCTCCCGTTCTCCTTTCCCCGCCTCTCGATCTCCTCTCCCCGCCTCGTTCTCCTCTCCCCGCCTCGATCTCCTCTCCCCGCCTCCTGTTCTCACCACCCTCCCTTCCCTCGCCCTTCTCACCCTTCCCTCGCCCTTCTCATCCTTCCCGCCCTTCTCACCCTTCCCGCCCTTCTCACCCTTCCCGCCCTTCTCACCCTTCCCGCCCTTCTCACCCTTCCCGCCCTTCTCACCCTCCCGCCCTTCTCACCCTTCCCGCCCTTCTCACCCTTCTCGCCCTTCTCACCCTTCCCGCCCTTCTCACCCTTCCCGCCCTTCTCACCCTTCCTGCCCTTCTCACCCTTCCCGCCCTTCTCACCCTTCCCGCCCTTCTCACCCTTCCCGCCCTTCCCTCCCTTCCCTACCTTCTCTCCCTTCCCGCCCTTCTCTCCCTTCCCGCCCTTCTCTCCCTTCCCGCCCTTCTCTCCTTGCCCTCCCTTCTCTCCCTGCCCTCCCTTTCTCTCCCTTCTCTCCCTTCCCTCCCTTCCCTCCCTTCCCTCCCTTCTCCCCCTTCCCTCCCTTCTCTCCCTTCTCTCCCTTCCCTCCCTTCCCTCCCTTCCCGCTCTTCTCACCACCTCTTTGATATGCCTTCCTGTCCCCCATCCTTCCTTCCTTACGCACTCCTCCTGCCATTCTCTCCTCTTGCAATCCTCACTGCCATCCCTCCTTTCCGCATATCCTGTATCCATGCCCCTTTCGATTCTCTTGTCGTCACCTCCCAAGCAACAGCGGCATTGCCATGGGAAATTTCAACATGCATCTCCCACCTACCCCCACCTACTCCTATCTCACCTCCCCTCCCCCTACCACATACTCCCATCTCACCTCCCCTCTCCCCACCTTACCACGGGATTTCAGCCCACCACGCCTCCCCATACCACCTACTCCCATCATTGCTCCCCTCCCCCTACCACATACAACATACTCCCATCTGACCTCACCTTCCCCTACCGCCTACTCCCTTCTTATCTCCCCTCCCCCTACCACCTCTCCTGGCCCTATCAGGCACTCCTTGCTCACCTCCCCTCCCCCTACCAGGGGCACTCTTCTCATCTCCCCTCCCCTACCCCTACCAGGGGCACTCTTCTCATCTCCCCTCCCCTACCCCTACCAGGGGCACTCTTCTCATCTCCCCTCCCCTACCCCTACCAGGGGCACTCTTCTCATCTCCCCTCCCCTACCCCTACCAGGGGCACTCTTCTCATCTCCCCTCCCCTACCCCTACCAGGGGCACTCTTCTCATCTCCCCTCCCCTACCCCTACCAGGGGCACTCTTCTCATCTCCCCTCCCCTACCCCTACCAGGGGCACTCTTCTCATCTCCCCTCCCCTACCCCTACCAGGGGCACTCTTCTCATCTCCCCTCCCCTACCCCTACCAGGGGCACTCTTCTCATCTCCCCTCCCCTACCCCTACCAGGGGCACTCTTCTCATCTCCCCTCCCCTACCCCTACCAGGGGCACTCTTCTCATCTCCCCTCCCCTACCCCTACCAGGGGCACTCTTCTCATCTCCCCTCCCCTCCCCCTACCAGGGGCACTCTTCTCATCTCCCCTCCCCTACCCCTACCAGGGGCACTCTTCTCATCTCCCCTCCCCTCCCCCTACCAGGGGCACTCTTCTCATCTCCCCTCCCCCTACCAGGGGCACTCTTCTCATCTCCCCTCCCCTACCCCTTCTTTCCCCCTCCTCTACCAAGGGCGTTCTGCTCACACCCTGCCCCACACTCCTATTCTCCCATGTTTGGTCCCCCAGCATTCCCTTGCTCGGTTTCTGTGCTTGTGTTGCAGGTGGGGAACCTTCCCGACTGGACATCCTACTATCTGCGCCTCACAGGGCACATAAGAGCCAGCAACCTGGGCATGGATAGGCAGCGATGGCAGGGGAGCGTGGCAACGGCCACGAGCAGAGTAGCGTCAAGCCTCTTGGTCACTCGGCTCGGCCCGTCCTTATGGTCCAAAACATTAGCACATAAACACACCCTCTCGCATCCCCTTTTAGGCATTTCTTACTGACCCAACACATGTTTCAGTGTTTTTTATCAACTGGTTATTGACTGCGGTGTTCTGTGACATCGTTCCAGGTTGCTTACATCACCAGTTCTAAAGCATGAACGCTACTATAACACAGTACGTAATCCAATCAGTTTGGTTACGAGTAAAAGCAGAGGCAATCCATCCATACCAACTTAGCAATGTACGATTGGTCAAGTGTGCAGCCAACATCTACTTATAGGCAATGCGGGAAATGTGACGGTGCTGGCAGGCAATGGGGAGGATAGCCGAGCGAGGAAAGGGTGCACGCAGCAGCTCGCCTTTCCAGGACACCACAAGCTTTTGGGGCTGCCAGGCGGACCAGTCATTGGAGGTCAACTCCAGCAGCACCACATTCATTTCTGCATAGCAAATATGGCCGTTGCCGTCCGTCCACACTGCCCCGAACCTGCAGGAGGGATGGGGAGAGAACGGATGCTTAGAGGATGGATGGGGGGAGAGAAGGGATGCGTAGGGGATGGATGGGGAGAGAAAGGGAAGAGAAGCAGAGATGGGGTGAGGCGGAGATGGGGCGAGCAGCGCGTTGGTAGTACGGTACTGGAGGTGGAAAGTGGAAACTGTGGGTACGGGGAGGGAGAGTAAGCAAGGGAAGGGAGCATAAGGAGGGGATGCAGGGGTGGAAAGGAGGGGATGCAGGGGTGGAAAGGAGGGGATGCAAGGGAACGGAGGAGGGGATGCAGGGGTGGAAAGGAGGGGATGCAAGGGAACGGAGGAGGGGATGCAGGGGTGGAAAGGAGGGGATGCAGGGGTGGAAAGGAGGGGATGCAAGGGAACGGAGGAGGGGATGCAGGGGTGGAAAGGAGGGGATGCAAGGGAACGGAGGAGGGGATGCAGGGGTGGAAAGGAGGGGATGCAGGGGTGGAAAGGAGGGGATGCAAGGGAACGGAGGAGGGGATGCAGGGGTGGAAAGGAGGGGATGCAGGGGTGGAAAGGAGGGGATGCAAGGGAACGGAGGAGGGGATGCAGGGGTGGAAAGGAGGGGATGCAGGGGTGGAAAGGAGGGGATGCAAGGGAACGGAGGAGGGGATGCAGGGGTGGAAAGGAGGGGATGCAAGGGAACGGAGGAGGGGATGCAGGGGTGGAAAGGAGGGGATGCAAGGGGGGGAAAGGAGGGGAAGCAGTGGGGGAACGGAGGAGGGGATGCAAGAGGAGAAAGGAGGGGAAGCAAGGGGGAAAAGGAGGGGAAGGGGCGGAAAGGAGGGGAAAAAGGGGGGAAAGGGGTGGATGCATGGGGAGAAAGGAAAAGACGCAGGGGGGGGAAAGAGGGGATGCAGGTGCGAAAAGCACGGGAAGCAAAAGGGGAAAACAGGGGGAAGTAGGGGGGGAACTGGGGGAAGGGAGGGCGCAGGGGGGAAACTCATGGCATTTCTCTGGCGCGCGCGTGTCTGGAACCGCGTGCTGTTTGCTGGCGCGTGAGCGTCAACTGCGCTCGATGTGCTGGCGGCGTCGCTAAGAAGGCGCGTGCCGCTTTGCTGCGCGCGTTTCGCTGGCGCGCGCTGCTCTGCTGAGCGCGCCTACGCGCGCGAAACGCCAGCATAGCTGGCGCAAGTTCCGCGCGCGAAACGCCAGCATAGCTGGCGCAAGTTCGGCGCGTGAAACGCCAGCATATCTGGCGCAAATTCCGCGCGCGAAACGCAAGCATAGCTGGCGCAAGTCCCGCGCGTGAAACGCCAGCATAGCTGGCGCAAGTTCGGCGCGCGAAACGCCAGCATAGCTGGCGTGACGCTCGCAGGTGGCGCCTGTAATGCGCATGGCTAATTAATCACCCGCGTCTATGTATGTGGTTGCGGTGCTGGTCTAGCACCCTCCGGCCCGCGCCTAAGTTATTTCTACCTATTCTACTAGCTATTAGTCGCGACGGTATAGAATACTGTTGGTCTATTCTCCTTGGTGTGAGGTGGAAAGTGAATTTGGTGACGGGAGCCATTTCCCATTTTCTGAATCACAACCTTCCCAACCCTGGTTCCCTAACGACAGAAGCGCCCCAGTTGTTCGCCAACACTCTCGCAATTCAGTTTTTCTTCTCGTTGTGGCGAAATCGCCTTGCTCTCTGTACAGAAACAGCAGTACTGTCAAATGTATACTCCTTTAAATGCGAGTCACTACCAGAGAAGAGCAAGTGCACAATTGTAATAACAAGAATGCTGTTTGACAAGTTTACACACAGGAAGTAGCAGCACATAATCAACCCTGTTCCATGTGAAATTACCTCTATGCAGGAGATTACTGTAAGTCGAGTTGATAGCGACCAGTTACGACTATTAATGCTTTTATGCGCTATTATAGTGTAACTTGCATTGCCAAAAAAAAAAAAAGTTGATAGCAACATACAGCCGGAGCATCCACAAACCTAAATATGGCAATACCCCTTTTGGGAACCAACACCGATAGGGACACCACCCACCTAAATCAACTTTAGCACCCACAGCACCACCAGCTGCAGCGACAAGGTATGTGCGACTGCCCCCCCTTGAGCAGCCAACTCTGTTTCTGATAACTCCTAAGCATCCCTAACTGTGGGTCTTGGTGTCAGTCTACCACAACCCATGCACCCCACTGCACCCCACTGCACCCTGCTGCAGCATGCTGAGCATCCCGCACTCATCATGGCACCACGCTTGCAGCCACTGCCTCCTCACCAGCACCAGCAGCAGCAGCAACAACACCTCCAGTCAGGTCTGCATCCCTTGGAATGCTTATCCTCTCCTCCGGCCCCACACCATGTCCTGCTGCACCCTGCTGCACCCTGCTGCACCCTGCTGCACCCCCTACTGTGCTACAAGGCTTCCTCTCCTCCTCATCATTGTGCCACGCTTGCAGCCACAGCCTCAGCAGCAGCAGGAGCAGCAGTAAGGTCTGCATCCCTAAGGATGCTAATCCGCTCCTCCAGCCCCACGCAGTGAGCCTTGGGCCCCAGCGCCTTATCCGCTGCTGCGTGCTGCAGCATGGTGAGTGTCTCCCCCACATCAGGCCCGTGCATACAGCCTGTGAGCAGCACGCGGATGGGCATGAAGAGGCGCTTGCCCTGCCGGGGAATGAAGACGGAGGGGGAAGGGGGGAGGTGGGGGGAAGGAACGGAGGGGGAGAAGCGGGGTGCGAGGGGCATGTTGGACGCCTCACCCACATGACGAGGAGTGGGATGGGGTGGGGGTGGTGGGCAGAACTGAAACGACATTGCATACAAAAGCAGAGCCTTGGCTTGGCACTGCCATATCCAGCTTCCCCCCCAACTCACTCCACCCATCCTGCCTTTCCCCTGCCATCCCCACTGCTGTCGTTTTGAGCACAACGTGATCCACTTCTTCCAAGCGGCAGCACCTATATTCCCTTCTCACCCCCTCTCCCCCTCCTCACCCTGCCCCACTTCCCTTCTCACAACTCACACTCTCCCTCCCCTCCCCCTCCTCACCTTGCGGCCAGTGGCCTTGCCGAACCCCTTGATCCACTTCTTCCACGTGGCAGCGCCGCCATCCACCGCTGCCAGCAGTGCTCCGCTCTCCCACTCCGCCAGCAGCGCCGCCCTCACTTCGTCCAGCCCGTCCTCCACCACTGCCTTGGCCTCCTCGCTGGAAGCAGAAGGGTAAGTAGGAAAAAGATCAAGGCAGAAGGGGAAGGAGCGAGGGCATTAAACGTTAGCAGCGCTGCCCTCACTTCGTCCAGCCCGTCCTCCACCACTGCCTTGGCCTCCTCGCTGGTGGTTGTGAGGGCACAGGGGTGAATGCAAAGGGGAAGGGAAATGGAAGGGAGAGATGAAGCAGCAGCGCCCCGCTCTCCCACTCCGCCAGCAGCGCTGCTGCCCTCACTTCGTACTGCCCATCCTCCACCACTGCTTTGGCCTCCTCGCTGGTGGGGAGAAAGAGAAGCATGGGGAAAAATGAGGGAGGGTTATAGAGATAAAGAAAGGCAAGGGAGATGAAGAGGGAAGTAGTGAGGACAACCCATTGGCACTAGTGGCTGGCCGCATTTCCCCCTTGCGCTGCCGCCCTGCCACTACCACCCTGCCACTACCACCCTGCCACTACCACCCTGCCACTACCACCCTGCCACTACCACCCTGCCAGCATCCCCCTGCCACTGCACCCCTGCCAGCGTCCCCCTCCCACTGCACCCCTGCCAGCGCCCCCCCCTCCGTGCCAGCAGCGCCTCCCGTGCCCTATGGGCAGTCCATACAGAGTGACATAGCATCGGCACACCCACTAGCAGGATGCACGAGGGCAGAGGCTCGCTGCTCACCTGGCGAGTGTGTCCTGTCAAGGAGCCTGGCGAGTGTGTCCTGTCAAGGAGCCTGGCGAGTGTGTCCTGTCAAGGAGCCTGGCGAGTGTTTCCTGTCAAGGAGCCTGGTGTGCTTAGCTTGAAAGCGTTGTTGAGAGGGCAGAGGCTCGCTGCTCACCTGGCGAGTGTGTCCTCCAAAGGGTACGCCAGCAGGGCCTCCAGTGTCGCATGAGCATCTGTTTCTGCCATTCAATACCGGCTGTGAACACTTGGCAACAGCTGATTGCTGGTGACTACTAGCGACCACTGGCAATCAGGTCAGGCGAGAGCTGCTCGCATCTCACCTGGCGAGCGTCTCCTTGAGAGGGAATGCCAGCAGCGCCTCCAGTGCTGCATCGGCATCTGTGACCAGCTCCAGCCCGTTGCGCACCAATGATGCTGCTGCCTGCTTGGCAGGCACGGCAATGTGCAGGCGGGCAATGTGGAGGCGGGCAATGTGGAGGCGGGCAATGTGGAGACGAACAATGGGAAAGGAAAGGAAAAGGATTAGATAAACAATCGGCATCTGTGACGAGCTCCATGGTTCAGTGGTTAAAGCACCGTGCGGATGCTCACGCCCTCACTTCCACCGCCCCATCACCCCATCGCCCCATCCCCCCTCCTCCCATCTGCCCCTCCTTTCGTCCCCCACACCCCCCCCACCCCCCACCTGCGTGCTGCGGCTGGTAGCGTCTGCTGACGCCAGCAGGCCACTATTGAGAATTCTCAAAAGTATCTCCTCCCCCTCCCTTCCCCTCCAACCCCCCTCCCCCCCCACCCTTCCCACCTGCGTGGTGCGGCTGGTAGCATCTGCTGATGCCAGCAGGCCACTGGCATGCCACTGCTCGGCGAGCAGCTGCGTGGAAGCTTCCTCGGACAGCTGCCGGAAGTGCTGGCCGTTGATCCAGCGCAGCTTGGCGTTGTCGAAGATGGCGGCGGACTTGGTGACGCGTGAGAGAGAGAACTTCTCAACTGCAGTTAGGAGCATGACAGGGAAAGGCGGCGGGCAGGGAAATGAGTGAGTGACAGGGGGCTTTTGAGTTGATCCACCGCAGCTTGGCAATGTCCAAGACCGCGGCCCATTTGGTGACGCGGGAGACAGAGAACTTCTCAACTGACGGAAGGGGGGGCGATGCGAGGGGGGTTGCGCAATGGGGTGGAAAAAGAAGGGAGTGACGAGGATAAGCTGTTGGTTTACCGCAGCTTGGCGTTATCAAAGATGGCCGCGCTGTTGGTGACGCGTGAGAGGGAGAACTTCTCAACTGCAGTAGGAGGGAAGAGGGGGGGGGCATGCAGTGACAGGAGCTGGCCATTGATCCACCGTAACTGAGAGAGACAACAGGGGAGGGGGGGTGAGGGAGGTTGCACAAAGGGGTGGCAGAAAGAGGGAGTGACCGGGATAAGCCGTTGATCCACTGCAGCTTGGCGTTTTCAAAGATGGCGCCACTCTGGCTGGGTGACCAGTTGCTTATATCCACCCACAGCTGAGGATATAAGCTATTGGGAAAGTTAAAACTCCACTGGGGTGAGAGACAAGAAAGGGGGTGTTGGGGGTGGCAGGAGGTGCGAGGACAGGACATGTGAGGGGCCCTCGATGCAGTGCAGGGGCAGTAGATGGCCATTGGCGTGCTCTCTCTCTGGTAGCCTGAGAAGGAGAGGAGAACTTTCGACTGCACTGAGAGAGGGGAGCGTTCTGCCTGTCGGATTACCTGGTAGTATTAGCATGAACGCTGCACCTGATGCCATTCAGCACTCACCGAGCTGCGAGGGCGTGAAGATCTCGTCCTCCGTGCCGTCGTTCCACCCCAGCAGCGCCAGGTAGTTCACCATCGCCTCTGGTAGGAAGCCCAGCTCCTTGAACTGCAGCGGGGCGGATTAGGTGCGACAGCGGGAGAGAAAGGAGGGGAGAGGATGATGGTTAGGAAGCGAGAAAAGCACGATGCGAGTAGCATCGCGAGATAGTTCACCGGGGCATTAGCAAGAAGCCCAGGTCCTTCAACTGCACGAAGGGGTTCTGGTCTGGGGTTAAGGGAGTAGAGAGGGGTGAGAGAAAAGCAATAGCGAGAGCACGGATGCGTACACTCCAGTTGAGCAGGGCCTGCCAGGTGGCTCATCTGGCACTGCTCTGCTCACAGGCCGTGTTTTTTGAGAATTCTCAAAAGGCACTGCTCACGGGCCGCCTCGGGCTGGGATACGATCCACGTGGTTCAAGGCAGGGGCGCTCAGAGGTGGCTGACTGTGACTTTGAGAGCTTGAGGCGGCCAGGGAGCAGTATACGAACAAACCACATAATTCAAGGCACACAAGTCCGCCTTCCTCTCCCCCTTATCACTCATTTTCAATTCCCCTTCGCCTCCTCTCTCCCCCCTCTCCCCGTCCCCCCTCGTACCTGCCCAACGGAGGTGGCGCCGTGGCGCTTGGAGAGCTTGGAGCGGTCAGGAGCGAGGATGAGCGACACGTGGCCGAACGTGGGCATGGGCAGACCCAGGGCCTGGCGGGTGGGGTGAAGGGGGTGGTGAAGAGTGGGGTGAAGAATGGGGTGAGGTGCGTCGAAGGGAGGGGCCGCGGATGAGCGACACATGGCCGAATGTGGGCATGGGCAGACCCAGCGCCTGGTTGGTGAGGTGCGGGTAAAGGGAGGGGGCGAGGGAGGGAGGTGAGTGGGCGGTGAGTGATGAAGGGAGTAAGGTCAAGGCTTGCAGAGCTTGGAACAGTCAGGGGCGAGGATGAGCGACACGTGGCCGAACGTGAGCATGGAAGGAGGGTTGAAGGGCATGGGGTGAGTAGGGGCAAGCATGCATGCAGGGGCATAGGTCCTGGGAGTCCTATCCTGTGGTATGCATGGCAAGCAGGGCGCGGAGGGCAAGCAGGGCGCGGAGGGCAAGCAGGGCGCGGAGGGCGAGCAGGGCGCGGAGGGCAAGCAGGGCGCGGAGGGCAAGCAGGGCGCGGAGGGCAAGCAGGGCGCGGAGGGCGAGCAGGGCGCGGAGGGCAAGCAGGGCGCGGAGGGCAAGCAGGGCGCGGAGGGCAAGCAGGGCGCGGAGGGCAAGCAGGGCGCGGAGGGCGAGCAGGGCGCGGAGGGCAAGCAGGGCGCGGAGGGCGAGCAGGGCGCGGAGGGCGAGCAGGGGTGCACGCACCTCGTAGATGAGCGCCTGGCGCAGAGTGTTGGGCAAGTGCTCCTCCGCTCTGATTGGTGGGTGGGAACGGAAGCGAGCAAGGGTGTGTGTGTGTGTCGGTTCGTGCGCGTGGGTGCGAGGAAGCTGAATGTGGATGCGCATACCAAGCACGAGTGGCCTTCAATCTCCCTCAGGCACGTGTGTGTGTCTGTGTGTGTGTGTGTGTGTGTGTGTGTGTGTGTGTGTGTGTGTGTGTGTGTGTGTCTGCGTTCGTGCATGTGGGTGTGTCTGTGGTGTGTGTGGGTGCCATGTGTGTGTGGGCGGGTGGGGGGGAAGGGAGGGGGGAAAAAGAGGGCATGGTGACCTGGCAGCACACTGACATGGCAGCACGTCGACTTGACTCACCTGATGACGTGGGAGATCTTCATGGTGGCGTCGTCCACAGTGACACAGAAGTTGTACACTGGCTGCCCGTTGCTGCGCAGCACCACGAAGTCACCCAGGGTATCCGTGTTCCACGCCACCTAGTTAGAGGGGGTCAACACAAGTCAACAGATGTCAACGCCAGTTATCCACAGTGACACAGAAGTTGTACACTGGCTGCCCGTTGCTGCGCAGCACCACAAAGTCACCCAGGGTATCTGTGTTCCATGCCACCTGGCAGGGAAGTCAATGCAAGTCAAAGGAGATCAGCACAATGCAAGTCAGCAGGAGTTCAAAAGAGCATTGCTCCTCAGCACCACAAATTCTCCCAGCGTGCCCGTTTTCCACCCCTCATGACAAGGTCAAGCGAAGTCAACAAAGGACAGCAACAGTAAACGCAGGTCAATACCAGTCAAGGGAGGTGGACAAAAGTCAACAGTGGTCAACAACAGTCAACCCAAATCAGCACAGCGTTGCACCTAAGCATCACGAAGTCCACTGCGTCTATTCCATGCCACCTGGCAGATGAGAGTCAGAAGAAGTCAACAGTGGTCAACGGAGGTCAACACAAGCTGCGTAGTAGCTGCATGGTTCATGGCACATGCATGTCTCTCACCCATCCCATCCCATCCCATCCCATCCCATCCCATCCCATCCCATCCCATCCCATCCCATCCCATCCCATCCCATCCCATCCCATCCCATTCCATCCCATCCCATCCCATCCCATCCCATCCCATCCCACCCCACCCACCCCACCTCACCCCATCCCATCCCATTCATGCATGCATGCACACAGCTGCTGTCTGTCTCATCTCACCTCCCCTCGAACAAGGTCGTTGATCTTAATGACTTTGTTGGGTGGCACTCGGAAGCGGAACGAGTGTGGCGTGCCCTTTGCCAGCTCAGCAGCCACCTCGTCCTCGCTGGCCCGCGCCCACTTGCCCGCGTACTTGGGAGGAAGCTTCTTCGCCTCCTGCTCCGCCTTCATTGCTGCTAGCTCCTGCATGCATGCACGGGGAGAAGAAAAGAACATCTCGAGTTGAAAAACGGCATCGTCCCCTTTTTGTTCTATAAGAAACACCTATGCTCCGCCTCCTGCTCCGCCTCCTGCTCCGCCTCCTGCTCCGCCTCCTGCTCCGCCTTCCTGCCTCTCCTCATGTGCCACCTATTCGAAACCCGCACCTTCTCATTCCCCTTTCAGTGCAGAAGCAGCGGGTAGCGGAACACCATGCCTGACGCCATGAGCTTCTCTGTCAGCTCGTGGCGAATACCCATGCAGCACTTCTATTCCTTCCCAGCCCACCTCTAAAAAACCCCACCACCTCATTTCACCGCACACGAGGTTCCCATCACATCACCTCTCACCACCGCTCCTCACCTCATCGAAGCAGAAGCAGAGGTAAACCATGCCCGATGCCAGCAGCTACTCAGTCGGTTCCTGCTGCGAACCTCCTAAACCTCCCAGTTCTGCTCATCAACACCCCTCCCATCACCTCTCAGCACCGCTGCTCACCTCATCAGTGCAGAAGCAGCGGTACACCATGCCAGACGCCAGCAGCTTCTCAGTCAGCTCGCGATAGATCTCATTGCGCTCTGACTGGCGGTACGGGCCCAGGGGACCGCCCACGTCCGGGCCTGTCACCAGTTACAGATGGCAGCGACAAGGAGAGGTAGCAGGGGACAGGGGGCGTGGGGCAGGGGTCAGGGGGCGGGGGGCAGGGGACAGGGGAGAAGAGGGAGAAGGTAAGCGGATGAAGACAGCTCGCGGGTAACTTTCCTTGCTCTGAACCCCTCCCCCTCATCCCTTTCCCCTCATCTCCCCCCTTATCCTCATCCCCCTCCCCCTCCCCTCCCCCTCTTCTGCTCACCATCGTCCCCTCCCCCTCCCCTCCCCCTCTTCTGCTCACCCTCGTCCCCTCCCCCTCCCCTCCCCCTGGTTCTGCTCACCCCTGTCTCGTTTCCTTCCATCCGTTCTTCTCGCCCTCCTCCCATCACCCCACCCTTCGCCCGCTTCCCCCGTTTTACTAGCCCTCTTTTTCCTCCCCCCCACCGTTCCGCTCACCCTCATCTCATTACCCCTCCCCCACCCCCTCCCTTCCACTCACCCTCGTCCCAGTCGAGCCCCAGCCACCGCAGGTCGCGCACCATGGCGGCCTCGGACTCCGGTGTGGAGCGGTTCAGATCGGTGTCCTCCACGCGCAGCACGAACTTGCCGCCCGTCGCCCTGAGAGGCGAGGAATCGGGGATTTCGGGGGACGAAATAGGGATTTGGGCCAGAAGAAAGGAGAATGGGTTGCACGGAAGGGGAATGCCGTATGGGGGCAAACGAAGAAGCTACAGCCTCTATCAGCCGCGGGAGCAGTCTGCTGTGGAGGCTGGCCGTCAACCCTCGCAACCGCAGTCTGCTGCGACGGCAGGCCGTCAACTCTCACTTGCAGTCTCCTGTGACGACCGTCCGTCAAAACTCGCAACCCCAGCTCCTCGCTCAGGGAGGCGGAGACAGACGCTCGCGATCACGCGCACCCCATCTTCCGCTAGCATTTTCGGGTACGCAAAAGCTACTCACTGATTGGTACGAAACTCGTCAAAGCTAGAAAAAATCCATTCCGAGCTCCCCAGCTATCGACACTACCTGCATGAACTGGGTGTGCATTATAGGCGCCCTGCGTTATAGCCATCGGATTCGCCTTCAACTTCGACTACATTGGCTGGCCGAAACAGCTCATAACAAGCTAACGATGACCACGTCGCTAAACTCGCATGATGGCCAATAGCGTAATTTACGTGTGCTTAGGTTACTTTGTTGTCTTTTTTTCCCATTTTTTTCTCCTCCTCTTGTCGCATACAGTCGCACGCGCACCTCGCAAAGAGCCAGTTGAAGAGCGCCGTGCGAGCCCCGCCCACATGCAGGTTCCCCGTCGGCGACGGCGCGAATCGCACGCGCGGCTTCCCGTCGCTCCCCGCCGTCGCAGCATCGCAGCGAGCGCCACGACGGCTGGCGACGTGCCTCTGCGCGACGTGTGACGATTTGGCTTCACCCGAAAGGCTCACTTGGCTCAAACTGAGACCCGAAAAGAATGCCTTGGGAAAAGAACGGCTTCTCTGCGCCAATCGCTGCGCGGCTCTTCCGCCGAGCGACATCGCGACGGAGTACGGCGCTCTCGCCGCCGCCTGCGATACGGTCGCCATAGCTACCGCGTCTCGGATGCGAAAACGAATCGAGAATCGCGCTAAGCGTAATGGTAATCGTGAAGCGCGAGGGATTTACGCACAAGCTGCTACGAAGGTAACGACGAGACGAGACGCGAGCGAGTGAAGCTCGTCGGACCAGTGCAGCTGGGAATGGGAAATGCACGGCTATGGGGGAAATGGCTGCTACTGGGAGAACTGGAACTAGTAGGTTGTGGGGAAATTCTCGAGATTCCCAGCCTGCTCGTGTTGTGGAGAATCCCGAAGAAGGGCGTTGGGGGTTGTTATTTGAGTTTACCGCGGTGAAGTGCGATATTCCACGTAATAAGACGTTTACTCTGAATGTTTTAACGTTTGGGTACGGTTTGAGCAACCAGGATTGCGTTTGGGTCGAAAAGGATGGCGAGACGAAATCGTGAGGCTGACGGGGCGTGGGGAAGCGTGAAACGAGAGAGCGCCACGTGGAGTTTTCAACATCGCGAGCTGATAGGGCGTTGCGTGGAAAGAGGATGTATCTCGACCCAGTTAGTGGCAGACTCAGCAGAACTGCTATATGCTTGTATATCGTGCTCTGATGCGTATTCCTAATGCTTAGAGGCGTAGATCAGTCAAATTAGTGAAAATTGTCATTCTGGTAGAATACATTGCCAACGGATGATAGAGCTTCTTGGAATAACCAACCCAGACATATGATCCCACGATTTTTCACTCAATCTTCGCAACGCTGCTCAAATACCGACCAATCTCAATAGCGTTCTCATACCCTCCCTCAACACACCAACTCAGCGCAACACCCGTCAAATAATTCCCTCCAAGAAACACCCCTTCCATCTCTGCCTCTTCGATCCCTGTCTTTGCCGCCTCTATTCTTGCAAGGTGGCCAGTATTAAGCTGGGGAACGGCTCGCAGCCACACACGCACCCCGAGCGCCAGAGGAGGAGGCGCGGAGGGATGGAGGAGCGTGGTGCGCATGTCACAGTCCACTGCTGCTATGAGGTCTGTGTGGGACTGGAATGGAGAGAGGCAGGGGCATGGAGAGGGCAGGAGAAGGGGGAAAGAGGGAAGAGAGAGATGGAGGGATGGAGTGTGGGCGAGGCAGGGGCACGGAGAGTGCAGATCGGGAAAGCAGGCAGAGAGGGTGGGGGGAGGGTGGGGAGGATGAGAAGACGCCTGGTGTGTGGATAAGTCTGGGAAGATAGCTGGTGTGGCACCTAGCTTGGGTGGGTTCTGTGCACGTGGAGGTGACGGGTAGGGAAGAAGTCGGACAATTGACCACCGCGCAGCGATGTACATGGCGCGACGAAATGTATTCTTCTTGAAACAGTACCCCATGCCACACAAGCCACACCAGCCACTTGGCACACTCAGGCCACTCACATCCTCAAAAACGCCACTCACCATTTCAGCAACAGCATCGTTCCCCGCACCGCCCACATAGCAGATGAGCAGCACCCGACCGTCAGGTGCTCTGTTGGGGAAGAGGGCAGAACTGTAGATGCAGCCTGGGTGGGGAAGAGGGGAGAGGAAGAGCAGTGATGGAGGGGCACAGGTGAGTGCGATGCTAGCACGGTGCTTAGAGGTGCATCACTAAGCCTCTGAGAGCGTGGGTGCAGCTGCCCCTATTCCCCAGCCCCCCTCTCATCCCCGCTCCCTCTCACCCACTCTCTCCCACCACTTCCCCTCCTACACTCTTTCTCTCTCTCTCTCATCCCCAACCTTCCCCAACTCTCTCTCCCACCTCTCCCCATCTCAACCAGTGTGGCCAGCCCCTGGGAGCGTGGGTGCAGCTGCCAACAACACACTAAATCTGAGTTCTGTGGTGTACATGTGTGGCACGTGCCAGTGGTCTAGTGGTAGAATAGCACCCTGCCATGACGCTCGGTGCAGACCCGGGTTCGATTCCCGGCTGGCACAAATGGTTTTGTTTGTTTGTTTTCTTTGTTTTGTTTGTTTTTTTTTGTTTTTTTTTTGTTTGTTTTTTTTTTTTTTTCTTTTTTGCCTTTCTACACAGCCCACACAGCACACCGCACTGCCACATACAGACATCGTCCGCACTTCACCGTCGCGCCGCACACGATTCAAAATACGATCCAATCTCAAGCCCAACGACCAAAAAATTCTCCTGATTTCAGGTCGTGCGCTCGCAGCCTCGCTTTGACGCTTGGCAGCGTGAAGCTGTGTTCGTTGAAAAGCACTCCCCAGCTTTGTATTCTCCTCCCACCTCCCCGCATCTCACCTAGCGTCGTCACTCCCTGGGAGAGCAGATGCAGCTGCCCATATGCAGTCAGCCCCCCTGCCCTCCCAGCCCACACCCACCCTCTGGTTCCCACTCTCTCCCACCCCTTCCCCATCCGACTCTCAACCAACCCCGCAACGTCCCCACCCCTACCCCTACCTCCCCCCATCTCACCCCATCTCACCTAGCGTTGCTAGTCCCTGCGAGCGCGGGTGCAGCTGCCCATAACCTCACAGCCCCCCTGCCCTGGCAGCATCACGAGCCACATTCCCACTCTCCCCCCCGCTCGCACTCTCTCCCAGTCCCAGCAATCTCTCCATCTCACCCAGTGTGGCCAGTTCTTGAGAGCGCGGGTGCAGCTGCCCATACCCGCGCAGCCCCCCTGCTTGCCCCGCGCCCTCCCTGACGGCAGCAGCAGGGTAAGAGAGGGCCACGGATGCCATGGGCGGGTAGGGTATGGCTGCCAGCGCTGCTGCTGCTGTGGGCTGGGAGAGGGATGAGGGAATGGGGGAGCGAGGGAAAGAGGACAGGGGGAGTTTTAAATTCGACTCATAAGTTCCCCTAGCCGCCCTGCCCCCTCCCTGACAGCAGCAGCTGGGTAGGAAAGAGCCACGGATGCCATGGAGGTATGGCTGCCCGGGCTGCTCCTGCTGTGGGCTGGAGGGGGGAGAGTGGAAGAGAAGGAAAAGGAGAGAGGGAGAGGTGTGAATCATAAATTGATTCAAAAGGCCCGTTTTCCGCCCCGTGCTTGACTGATGGCAGCAGCTGGGTAGGAGAGAGCCGCAGATGCCGTGGGCAGGTAGGGTATGGCTGACAGCGCTGCTGCTGCTGTGGGCTGGAGGCGGGGGGAAGGGTGCAAGAGGGGAAGAGGGAAGAAGGAGAGAGGTGAATAATGAGTCGACTCACACGCCCCCCTGCCCACCCTGCCCCCTCCCTGACAGAAGCAGCGGGGAAGGAAAGAGACACAGATGCCATGGGGGTATGGTTGCCAGCGCTGCTGCTGTTGTGGGCTCGGAGGGGGGGGGGGGGGGGACCGAGGGACAGACGTGAGGAAAAGGGTTGGGGGAGGGGGAGAGGGCGGGGTGAGGGTGGAATGGAGGGAAGAAGTTTCCCGAGAGGAGGGAGGCAAGGTGGGGCGCATGAGAGGAAAGGCTCTCGGCGTCATGCCTCTCTCAAGAGAGTGTGCTACTACTGATGGCACAGTGGAGGACTTTTGACGCCTGGAAATGGGGCAGAGTGCGCAAGTAGACGCGAGGAGGGCGCGAGTGAAGCCGATGGAGTAGTGAATGGGGTTGGAGCAGTGAGGGTGAACGAAGACGAATGATTCAGAGAGAAATAGAGGGAGGGAGGAGGGGAGCACTCCATGTCGTCGTTCTTTCGACATACGCCTCCCCACACCCAGACGAGACATGTTTACTGCTGGGGGGGAGCAGAGGAGACATGTTTACTGCTGGGGGGGAGCAGAGGAGACATGTTTACTGCTGGGGGGGAGCAGAGGAGACATGTTTACTGCTGGGGGGGAGCAGAGGAGACATGTTTACTGCTGGGGGGGAGCAGAGGAGACATGTTTACTGCTGGGGGGGGGAGCAGAGGAGACATGTTTACTGCTGGGGGGGAGCAGAGGAGACATGTTTACTGCTGGGGGGGAGCAGAGGAGACATGTTTACTGCTGGGGGGGGAGCAGAGGAGGCATGTTTACTGCTGGGGGGGAGCAGAGGAGACATGTTTACTGCTGGGGGGGGAGCAGAGGAGACATGTTTACTGCTGGGGGGGAGCAGAGGAGACATGTTTACTGCTGGGGGGGAGCAGAGGAGACATGTTTACTGCTGGGGGGGAGCAGAGGAGACATGTTTACTGCTGGGGGGGAGAATGAAGAGCAGCGGTCCTCACAGAGAAAGCCCTGATGACGTCAGCAGCAACGTAAGCAGGCACAGTGAGCAGCACGGAGCGCGCGGCCACTCGTGTGCTGCCACATGGCGTGTTGTACGTCAGCACAGCGCCCCCTCCTGCCCGCTGCTGCATGCCCACCAGCCGCCACCCCACCCGCACTCTGCTCCCCAGCCTGTGGGAGAGAGGGGTTCATGGATGGGAGGGGAGATGTGGAGGGGTGAGATGGGGAGGGGAGGGGAGAGGTGGAAAGGGGAAGACGGGAAAACAGAGTGAATTAAAGAGTGGAGGATGGCGCAAATGGTGAAGGCTATTGTGGACGAACCTGGTCTGGTTCTACCAGTTGCTTTTTGTCCAGAGCTGCTGCTGTTAGCCGACTGAGCTGCTGCTGTTAGCCGACTGAGCTGCTGCTATTAGCCGACATCTATTGCAGTCAGCTTGCAATGCCATACCAGCCATTCCATACCATCCATTCCATACCATCCATTCCATACCTGCCATTCCATACCTGCCATTCCATACCTGCCATTCCATACCTGCCATTCCATACCTGCCATTCCACACCTGCCATTCCATACCTGCCATTCCATACTTGCCATTCCGTACCTCCAACCTATTCACACACGCTACCCAAGCCTACCCCCATATCTGCTACCAAACCTATCAACCAGCCCTGCCAATCCCACCTCCTGAACCTACCGGTCAGCCATGGCGCTTGTGAGAGTGGCCAACCCTGCGCGGAATGACCCCACTGACTGGCCCTGAGGCCTGGGGAGACGGCTGCAGGGGGCATGAGGGAGGAAGGGGGAGGGGACGTGGGATGGAGAGAGGGATGGAGAAGGGGATGGAGAGAGGGATGGAGAGGGGGATGGAGAGAGGGATGGAGAGGGGGATGGAGAGAGGGATGGAGAGGGGGATGGTGAGAGAGGGGGATGGGGAGGGGGATGGAGAGGGGGATGGAGAGAGAGGGGGATGGGGAGGGGGTGGAGAGGGGGATGGGGAGGGGGGGTGGGAGCGGGGAGGGACAGGAAAATGTTAAGTGACAGAGAGTGCGAGGGAGGGAAGAGGGATGGAGGAGGGATGGAGGAGGGGATGTGGAAGGAAGAGTAGGAGAAATGGAGGAAAGAGAAGTGTGGTACATCCACAGGTGGGGGTGGGCCTGTGAGGTGTGGGGCGAGGTTGAGGTGTGGGGCGAGGTAGAGCTGTGAGGTGTGGGGCGAGGTAGAGCTGTGAGGTGTGGGGCGAGGTAGAGCTGTGAGGTGTGGGGCGAGGTAGAGCTGTGAGGTGTGGGGCGAGGTAGAGCTGTGAGGTGTGGGGCGAGGTAGAGCTGTGAGGTGTGGGGCGAGGTAGAGCTGTGAGGTGTGGGGCGAGGTAGAGCTGTGAGGTGTGGGGCGAGGTAGAGCTGTGAGGTGTGGGGCGAGGTAGAGCTGTGAGGTGTGGGACGAGGTAGAGCTGTGAGGTGTGGGGCGAGGTAGAGCTGTGAGGTGTGGGGCGAGGTAGAGCTGTGAGGTGTGGGGCGAGGTAGAGCTGTGAGGTGTGGGGCGAGGTAGAGCTGTGAGGTGTGGGGCGAGGTAGAGCTGTGAGGTGTGGGGCGAGGTAGAGCTGTGAGGTGTGGGGCGAGGTAGAGCTGTGAGGTGTGGGGCGAGGTAGAGCTGTGAGGTGTGGGGCGAGGTAGAGCTGTGAGGTGTGGGGCGAGGTAGAGCTGTGAGGTGTGGGGCGAGGTAGAGCTGTGAGGTGTGGGACGAGGTAGAGCTGTGAGGTGTGGGGCGAGGTAGAGCTGTGAGGTGTGGGGCGAGGTAGAGCTGTGAGGTGTGGGGCGAGGTAGAGCTGTGAGGTGTGGGGCGAGGTAGAGCTGTGAGGTGTGGGGCGAGGTAGAGCTGTGAGGTGTGGGGCGAGGTAGAGCTGTGAGGTGTGGGGCGAGGTAGAGCTGTGAGGTGTGGGGCGAGGTAGAGCTGTGAGGTGTGGGGCGAGGTAGAGCTGTGAGGTGTGGGGCGAGGTAGAGCTGTGAGGTGTGGGGCGAGGTAGAGCTGTGGGAAAATTGGACGAGTGAGGATACACGCGAAAACAAACACATGTCGGATGGTTGCACGTACAAGTCTCGAGGCGCTGCCAGGTTTATTTCCCCTTCCCCCCCCCCTGCCTGGCTGAATCATCGCCCCAAGCAGCAAGCCCCCCTCTGTCTCCATGCGCCATGCCCCGTCACTACACACTCACAGGTCTCGAGACACAGCCGGGTTCTCATGCTCCTGCTTCTCCTTCCTCTCCCTGCCCAGCTGAATCACCCCCCTCTGCAGCAACCCCTTCTGGGCCTCCCATGCGCCATGCCCTGTCACTACACACTCACAGGTCTCGAGACACAGCCGGGTTCTCATGCTCCTGCTTCTCCTTCCTCTCCCTGCCCAGCTGAATCACCCCCCTCTGCAGCAACCCCCTCTGGGCCTCCCATGCGCCATGCCCTGTCACTACACACTCACGGGTCTCAAGGCTCTTTCGGGCTCTCCTCCTCTTGCTGCTTTCTCTCCCTGCCCAGCTGCATAATCCCCCCCAGCAGCGGCCCTCCTTCTGCCTGCATGCGCCATGCCCCTTGCCTGCATTCACAGGTCTCGAGCCTCTGAAGCGTTCTGTTTCTGCCTCCTCTCATTTCCGAGCTAAATCAGGCCGCCCAGCTGCGGCCCCCCTTCTGCCTCCATGCACCATGCTTGCTCATTGCACTCACAGGTCTCGAGGCTCTGCCGAGTTTTCCATCTCCATCCTCTCTTTCCCCAGCTGAAAAAACCCACCCAGCAGTTTCCCCCTTTGCCACCATGCGCCACGCCTCGGCACAGCATACTCACGGGTCTCGAGGCTCTGCCAGGTTCTCCTTCCGCTTCTCCTTCCTCTCCTTCCCCAGCTGAATCATGCCCCCCAGCAGCGAGCCCCCCTCTGCCTCCATGCGCCATATGCGGTTGAATGCTGCCTGCATGCTCATCTGCTCCGCATCCCCTGCGAATATGCCTGCAGGGGGGAAGGGGTAATGGGGGGAGGATACGGAGAGAAGGGAAGAAATGGCTGATCCTTTTTGCAAGTGAAAATACCAATTGCTTGGTTGCTTGATTGAACGGCTGTGTGTGCCATGACACGTAGAAAGAACAACTGCTCTTGAAAGGAAAGCTTTGCAGACAGTCAGAGAAACAAAGCAGGTGCGTAAGAATCTGTGTCTCATTATGTGAGAACGAACTCAAACGCAGATGCACTGGGCTGCATTGAGTACAGTGTACGATTTTCTGAGATTTCTCAAAGATCGCTCACGAAATATATATATATATATATACATATTATATGTATATACATATATATACACATAACGCTTCGAGAAGGAGACGGGCTCATGAGAGCAGAAAGATTGAAAGAGCTTTTAAAGTGCCTCGAGCAGAAGGGGGGAGCGGATGCACGAGGTGTGCATGCAGAAGGGCACACGAATTTCGAAACAGTTTCTCGTCCTCCTTACAAGAGCAGAAGGGGTCAACCAGGCGGTGCAGCAGCTGCGAGCCGAGGTTGCGCGTCACAAACTCTGACACACTCTCCTCCTTGCTGCCAGCTGGCTGGGGCGTGGAGAGGAGGGGGGGTGCATGGCACACATGGGTGCATGGCACACATGGGTGCAGTGCATGGCACACATGGGTGCAGTGCATGGCACACATGGGTGCAGTGCATGGCACACATGGGTGCAGTGCATGGCACACATGGGTGCAGTGCATGGCACACATGGGTGCAGTGCATGGCACACATGGGTGCAGTGCATGGCACACACGGGAGCAGTGCATGGCACACATGGACTCACTTAAACTCGGCAAGAAAAGAATCTTTACAAACTCTGACATAAGAGCAGTTCCTCATCTGGGCTGGTCCAGTTTTCGTCTCACCAGCGGTGGTCTGATCCCCACGAACCCCAGTGCCGCCCGCAGCTTGCCGGCCAGCGTCAGCAGATCCGAGGAGATCAGATCGGCGGGACCCGAGGGAATGGGACGCAGCTTGCCGTCCCAAAAGACGTAGCGCGGAGCATCAGGCGCTCCCAGCACGAGATCAGACAGAATGCCACAGTCCAACTGTGGCGGTGGAGAGTGGGTGCGGGGTGAGGGTTGTGAGAAGGCAGTGGAAGCAGGTGCGTCAGGTGGACACGTAGCGAGGCGCCAAGGAATGGCCGGTTGGACACGTAGCGAGGCGCGTCAGGTGCCGCCGGCACGAGGTCGGAGAGAATGTCGCAGTCGAGCTGAGGTTTGTGAGGGGAAGGGGTTGGGTTGAGGGGGAAGGCAGTGGAGGCAGGGGGGAAGGCAGTGGAGGCAGGGGGAAGGCAGTGGAGGCAGGGGGAAGGCAGTGGAGGCAGGGGGAAGGCAGTGGAGGCAGGGGGAAGGCAGTGGAGGCAGGGGGAAGGCAGTGGAGGCAGGGGGAAGGCAGTGGAGGCAGGGGGAACGGGAAGGGAAGCCAAGGACTGGATGGCTGGACACGTAGCGAGGCGCGTTGGGGGCTCCCAGCACGAGGTTGGAGAGAATGCCACAGTCGAGGTGTGGGGGAACGCGGAATGGCAATGAGGGCAGGGGGAAGGGAAGATGGGAACGCGCATGGAGCATTGGGGGCTCCTAGCACAAGGTCGGTGGAAGCTAGGAGGAACATGGGAATGGCGCGGTTGAGCTGTGTGGGGGAGACGAGGGCGATAGGCAACGGGGGCAGGTGCAAGGGGGTGGCAACAGGACCAGGCTGGCTAGAATGCCGACTAGAGCTGTGGGGTGGTTGGGGGTGGCAAAGGGGAGGAGCGAATGCAGAGGTGCAGGAGGCTATAGGGGGAGGCTGGAACCAGCTTACTAAGTGTGCGCAGCAGAGGGTGGACGTGTGAGAGGAATGGAGCGGGAACGAGGGAGAGGCGATGAGGGAGAGAAGAAACGACAGAAAAAGGGTAAGAGAACAGAGAGGATTTAAATGGCGAGCTTGCGAGCAGCGGCACACAAGGACAAACGAAATTCAAATGACTGATGGTACGGTTTGATGTTCGACATAGCCCACAGCCCACTGCTGCATAATAGCACACCACAGTGCAGCATGGTAACCTGGTAACTCACACCACAGCGCAGCATGGTAACCCGATAACTCACACCACAGCGCAGCATGGTAACCCGGTAACTCACACCACAGCGCAGCATGGTAACCTGGTAACTCACACCACAGCGCAGCATGGTAACCCGGTAACTCATACCAGCGCAGCATGGTAACCCGGTAACTCACACCACAGCGCAGCATGGTAACCTGGTAACCCATACCACAGCGCAGCATGGTAACCCGGTAACTCACACCACAGCGCAGCATGGTAAACCGGTAACTCACACCACAGCGCAGCATGGTAGCCTGGTAACTCACACCACAGCGCAGCATGGTAACCCAGTAACTCATACCAGCGCAGCATGGTAACCCGGTAACTCACGCCACAGCGCAGCATGGTAACCTGGTAACCCACACCACAGCGCAGCATGGTAACCTGGTAACTCACACCACAGCGCAGCATGGTAACCCGGTAACTCACACCACAGCGCAGCATCGTAACCCGGTAACGCACATTTGAGTGCAGCATGGTAACCCGGTAACTCACACCACAGCGCAGCATGGTAACCCGGTAACTCACACCACAGCGCAGCATGGTAACCCGGTAACTCATACCAGCGCAGCATGGTAACCCGGTAACTCACACCACAGCGCAGCATGGTAACCTGGTAACCCATACCACAGCGCAGCATGGTAACCCGGTTACTTACACCACAGCGCAGCATGGTAAACCGGTAACTCACACCACAGCGCAGCATGGTTGCCTGGTAACTCACACCACAGCGCAGCATGGTAACCCAGTAACTCATACCAGCGCAGCATGGTAACCCGGTAACTCACGCCACAGCGCAGCATGGTAACCTGGTAACCCACACCACAGCGCAGCATGGTAACCTGGTAACTCACACCACAGCGCAGCATGGTAACCCAGTAACTCACACCACAGCGCAGCATCGTAACCCGGTAACTCACATTTGAGTGCAGCATGGTAACCCGGTAACTCACACCACAGCGCAGCATGGTAACCCGGTAACTCACACCACAGCGCAGCATGGTAACCCGGTAACTCACAGCGCACTGCAGCATGGCGTCGCTGGGTTGGAAGCTGTGAGGCCCCTCCTCCCACACATACCCCTCGCTCTCTGTGCCTGCCTCCCCCACCGTTGTAGTCACATTCCCGCCCACGCGCTCCCGCGCCTCCGTTACAAGCACGCGCGGCACGGCGTCCGCGTGCCGCGTCGCCAGCGCGAACGCCGCTGACAGCCCCGAAATCCCCGCGCCCACCACCACGCAATCCGCCTCTTCCGCGATCGCCGCTTCAGATCCATCCGCTTTATAAGAAGCCTCGGAATTCACTAAGGCTGTCTGCCGCCGCCATTTGCCTGTTCGCCGTGCGACAGTAACACAGTTACCACCGTCGCCGGGACCGCCTGGAATCAAGCGGCGGTCTCGGCGGCGGGAGAGATACAGCGCTTTGTCTGCGCGCAGGTTCCGCAATTCCCCGCGCATTCCGTGGAATTTCCGCACGGCCGCATGCGTGGGATGGGCGGAACGCGCGGGGCGCGGACGGAATGGCTCGCGCCGTGCGGAGCAGCGAGGGGGGAACGGGTCAGCAGCGACGATGACTGGCGGTGCGCGCGTTGACACGAGCCCTTGCGACGCGAGTGAGAATCTAACGGCCATGATTCGTCGATGCGACAGAATGGGTTAGCGGATTGGCGTGACGGGAAGTGACTGGGATGTTGCGGGGAAGCTAGCGGAATCGGGTGGTGTCGCTGAAGTGTGTCGCAGGAATCGCACAGAGAATTGTCGCACGGAATGGGCAGGATTGATAATTTAGGCAGCTCGATGACACTCTAGTGCATTCGATACCACTTCGTAGAAGGTGGAACCAGTTAGAGACTAATGAGACTTCCAGTCATGACTGGGCGACTCGAGTTTCAGTGCAACTTGTTTCAGGTGGTGGATGGAAAGGAATTTGTACGCCTTATCCGAGAGAGATTGCTCCAGAGCATCTAGGGGAAAAGAAATGAGACTTAATATGGCGTTACACACCAGTGAGAGATTAGCAACCCCCACTTCACGAAATTTACTTTCAGCTTGTGCCAGTATATATGGGAGCCAATAGAGTTGGATATGATACTTGTAGCAGCACTATTACGGAAAATGATCTATTTTTTCTATTGATTTTTTCCATATGCCAATCTAGAAGGCTTAAAGCGTTATCAGGAATTTTTCCCCAAAATTCCTTATTTTCAGCCTACGGTAGTTTTGTGTACCTATACTGCTTTTTCAGTGTTTAGATTTGTTACAATCCCAAGGAGGACTTAGCGAAGGATCGCTCAGGGTTGATCGCATCGTACTGTTGCAGCGGAAGTTTGAACCTCAGGTCAGAGTGAATGTAAATGACTGAGTTGATAAAAGCATGCATACATCGGGTTTATATAAGAGTACAGGGGAATACGAAAAAACCTAGACTAGCCATGTACTCTAAGGGGTACATTCCCTTATTGCAGCGAATTCAAACCGTGCGGCACGGGAACCCGTTTTGAACATGTTCCCGCTCTTTTCACTTCAACTGTTTCTGCCTGCATCGGTCTTGGTCAGACGGTTGCTGTGTCGCTTCGACTCTTCTGACTCCTCGACTTCGTACTCGGTAGAGTCGGCTCCTACAGCATACAGGAATGCCTTCTCATAAAACTTCATGTCGTAACACTCCCCTTCATTCCTGGGCGCAGGAGGGGCTGACTCGCTTGACTACTCCGGTGATGTCAGAGTAGTGCTTGTACTGCTGACGTGGCAGACGCTTGGTGAGGAAGTCTGCTGCCATCTCAGTAGTCGGGCAGTAGGCGAGGTCAACTTTTCCCTGGTCAATTTCGTCCTTGACGAAAAAGTACCGAAGCGCGATGTGCTTCGTGCGGTTCACGAAACCTGGCTTGTTCGCGATCTTGATGGCACTCTAGGCGTTGCAGTGAAGGCGAAAGGTGGGCGAGGTTGGAAATTTCGCCTCCTGTAGCAGCTCTTGCAGGTACAACCCTTCGCGAACTGCTGCTGTCGCGGCGATGTATTCTGCTTCAGCTGATGACATGGCAACCAACTCCTGCTTCTGCGAGTTCCAAGAGATTGGCCCAGTGGGTTCTAGGAGAAAAATGAAGTCGGTTCGGGACCGTCAATTTTCAGGGTCAGCTGCATGATCTGCGTCCACGTAGCCGTTGAGGTTGAAGGAGGTCGTTGTCAGCGTGGAGTAGGAGAGCCCGATGTCAGGTGTGGAAACGAAGTACTGCAGGGCGCGCTCGAGGTCCAGCTGGTTCTCAGCTACTGGCTTGCGGGAGTACTGTGCCAGTTGGTTGGTGATGTACGGAAGGTCGGGTCGGCAGGTGACAGAGGCGAATAGTAGGCACCCCAATTTCTGCTGGTACATTTGGAGCCCTGCAGGCGTCAGGGGTTTTTTGTCCGTTTTGTAGTTGGCACTGGGGTTGTAGTAAGGAGTTGAGAGTGGTGCGGGCGAAATGTTGAAGCGTTCCCTTAGCTGCTCTGCGTACTTGGAGGCTGTCAGGTGAATTGCCTCTGGCGCGTAGGTGATGTTCAGGCCCAGAAACTGTTTCACACTGTGGTTGATGGTGATGTCAACACGCTGCGCCAGGTTCTCTTCAAACTGATTAAGGAGCTTGCTGCAGGTGCCCGTGTACAGCAGATCGTCGACGTAAACTGTAAAGAGGATGTAGTCGCCATTGAAGGCGATACATTCCCGGGTCGTGCGGCAACTGCTTGAAGCCGATCTCGAGGAGAATCTTGTGCAGATGCTGCTGCCAAAGGCGAAGCGCCTGCTTGATCCCGTAAAGGGATTTCTTCAGCTGACAGACCCTAGGATCCCCCTCTCCGTAGGTGTGAGGTTGTTCCACGAAGATGGTAGCATCCACCAACGCGTAAAGAAACGCGTTTTTCATGTTGATCTGTCGCAGTGGCAGGTGCTTAGCGGCGGCAATGGCGAGTAGAATCCGGACGGAGGTGTGGCGACCCACGGGAGCGAAGGTCTGGTCGAAGTCGATGCCGTGTCACTGATCGTACCTGCGTACGACCCAGCGTGCCTTGAATCGCTCGATGGTGCCGTTAGTCTTCAAGCAAAAAACCCATTTTCCGCTGAGTACCCTCCTCCCCTTCACTGCTGCACGATTGACGAGGACCCATGTGTCTCGAGACTCCAACGCCTTTAGTTCTGCATCCATCACAGCACGCCACTCCTTAGCATGAGGGCCGGCTAGAGCCTGGCGAGGGTATTGGGCTCCACGGCCCGTGCGAGGGTAGTGACGGACGTGTGCAGGCCGAGGATTTGTAGACCTGACACGTTGGTGGTGTCGGTGTTGGTGGTGACTTCCACCACGTCCTTGTCTCCGCTTTCATAGCCGGGTGCTGCGGTGCTTGGCTCTGCCTAGCGTCGTGATGGTCATGGTGCGGGGTCATCATCACTGTCATCGTCGTCGTCGTCGCGCGGGCGAGGCGGGATGCTGGGATGTTCGTCGGTGTCGTCGCGGTCTAGTGCTGCTGCTGCTGCTTCGTCTTCTGTAGTCGCAAAGCTGCGACCGATGTTGACGTAGCCTCGTGCCTCGTTGCAGCGCTCGTCCTAGTTCTTCTTGTGTGAGCTCCCCTTCTTCGAGCTCTGCTGTTCCCCATCCTCCCGTGGTGACCGTGCCGCTTGCGCTGGCTCCCCATGCTCCAGTGGCGGATGCCCAGGTTGCGCCGCCTTCTGGTTCGTAATCCTCGTCTCCCCATGCTCCTCGTCGTGCTGATTCTTCGTCCCATCCTGCCGCGATACGCTCCTCATACGGCTTTTGTTTCTTTTCTGCCCGGGCCTTATCATGTTCTTCCTTAACGCTCAGCTCCCCTTCTGTGTCAGGATCCTTCCTGGCCGGGTCAATCTCGCGGCGGTAGACTTCACGAGTGTATAGGCGCGGTCGTCCTTCTTCGTCGAAGGTGCTGGTGTTGGCTTCGAGGACGAACCGGAGCGTTTCCGAATAGGGCCTTGGTCTCTCCACCCGCTGATGTCCGAGATTGTTGTTCGACTCACCGAAGATGCGGTAAGATGACACAGCGAGTTCTTCTTCAGCCATGCCTACGGATTATGCCTCGGCACTCTCCGCTTCCTGGATTGTTGTGTACTCCTTTTCAACTTTCTCCGTGCGGCTCGCCGTGGGTGTGTGACATGTTGTGTAGAGGCCATTGATGTCTGGCTCGTGCAGGTTGATCTCGCGGGGATGAGGACTGCGGCGAACCCACGGTCGTCCGTCTGGGTGCTCCCATGCTTTCTCGTCCATGTAGGCGAACTCGAGAGGGACGAGGTCCACGAGTTCGTCGGATGATGCTTGGCAGGAAGGTACGTCGAAGTCTAGGATATAGATCCCGTTGATTGAGCGGGCTTGTCCGAGGTATTTGAACGATTCGGGCGGTGTGTCAGGGTGTGTGGCGAGGTCCGTGGTAAGGATGACACCGCAGCCGCGAAGTTGTCCTGCCGAGAGGAGGTTGAAGCGGAAGTTTGGGACGTAGAGTATGTCGTTGAACGAGATGTGTGTGTTGCTGTCTCATGCTTGCAGGACCACGATGCCTTGCGCATTAGCGCGCAGTTGCTTGTTGTTGGCGACGGTGACGTAAGTTGCGGGAGCGCGTCTCAGGTTTGAGACGTATCGCGTGGATCCCACCATGTGCTGTCCGCAGCAGCTATCCAGGTACCAGGTGTTGTAATTGTCGGTGTTGTATCTACGCAGAAGTAGCGCCACTCGCGGAGTCACCAGGGTTGCCTTGTAGTGCCGGTGGAAGTCTGGGTCTTTGTCCTCCTTCCATCCCACCGGTACGTAGCATTGGTTGTCATGTGGCGGGCTTTCCCGCAGTGTGATTGGCTAATTCCAATCCTGCTCGTCTTCGTCATACAGGTAATTGTGATCTTCAGTGAGGGGATTGTTCCAACCCTTTCTGGCTCAAGGAGTCTTCCTTGGATCTCGTTCTCTTCGTCAGGTTCAGCAGTGCGCCGTCGGCGTGTCGCCATATTTGCGATGATGTTTCTAGGAGCTCCTGATTGAGGTCCTTGAGTTAGCTGATGTTGGTGTTGTGCAGGAGGACGAGGTGCCTGATGCTGAGGCTGAGAGTGACGAGCGTCTTGTCGGCCGACCCAGTTGTTGTGGTGAGTGGAATTCGGGTGGCGATAGTTGGATCGGGATTTGCATCGATCCGTTGAGTGTCCAAAGACTATATATTTTGCAGTAATGGCGCCTTGGTTGTCGTCGCTCTTCACGGCTGTCTGCGTAGAAGGCGAGGCGCTCTCGGCGCAGCGCGGAGCTTGTTCTGCTCGAGTCCATGTCCTGCTGTTCAGTCAGGAGTGCGGCGCATAGCGCGGCTTCTGAGATGATTCCTCGTTGTCGGAGTAGCGCTTTGCAGGGCTTCCACTCTGGCCCGAGTCCTTGAAGGACTATGTTGACGAAGATCTCTTCTGAGATTGCGCTCCCATGCTTCGTGATCTGGCACGGATGTTCCGACAGCGGTTAATATAAGAATTCGCTTTCTCCCCGTGCCCCATCTTTGTCTCCATAAGCTGCTGCAGGAGCCTGCTAGCGGTAACCGAATCTTTCGGCTGATAAACCTCAACGAGGTGCTTCCAGGCTTCCAAGGCTGGAGCGGCGCTCTCTTTGTAGGAG